AAGTTTTTATAATATTTGAGATCATACATTTAGGACTTACCTGGAGGAAAGTAAATACCTTTATGCACGGCATTTTTGTTTTTCATTTTGCTTGAGGGTCCGTGTGCTCTTTAGCGAGATGGAGAGGGAGACAGCATCCCCGTGCACACACCCTCTAGCAAAAACAAAAACAAATTGTACTATATTTTATGAAGTTCAAGTACGATTGATGAGCTATTAAATATTTCATTGCAGATAACATAATTATTTTATTATTAAAACTATTTTTAAATACGTAAGATTATATGAGATACTATTTTTTTTTCTTTTAGAGAGATTTTTGTTATAAGGCGTGTGTGCTCGCTGGAGAGACAGAGACAGAAAGCAAGAAATCACCCCCAGAGGGGATGGCCACCCCACGGTCCCTTCTCTTCCACTCTCATCTTGGGGTTTGGGCATGTGCACACACGTGCCCGGCGTGTTTCAAGCCACCAGGTCTGGGACTCGAACCGCAGTTTTCATGTGGGAGTCCCACAACGTGACCACTACTCTGTCTTCTGGTTCTGATAGTACTTTTTATTTATCTTTATAAAAGAGTACAGCTAACTTTGTTTTGTTACTGATCTTCTCTTTTGGTCAGAATTTGTTTAGTTCTACTATTTTCACATTACTTTATTTGAAACCTTTTTTTTTGGGGGGGGGGGGATAGGGTGCATGCACTCACCAGAGAGACAGAAAGAGAAATCAGCCCCCGGGGGGTTGTCCACTCTACAATCCCTTCTCTTCCATTCTCCTCTCCGGGATATTGAGCATGTGTGCCCACGCCCAGCGTGAGTTTTAAGCCACCTGGTACAGGACTCGAGCCATGGTTGATTGTGTGGGAGTCCAGCAACATAACCATGCCATCTGCTGGTCCCCACATATTAAATGAAATGTGGTATTTCTCTTTCAAGTACAGTGACTACAAAGGAAAGGGAACTTAAGACGACAACAATCAAACCTGTTTCGTGTACAGATTGGGGGAATCCAAAAACACCACAGTCTTTTCAAACAAGTTTGCTGAGTAACAGTTCTCATCTTTACTGTTAAAACAGTCTTCCCATTAAAAAAAGACATCATTTGATTTGTAAAGCCTATTCCCCCCCCCCAGTTTTTATTTTATTGTCTTCACTTAGAAAGTGTAAATTTGTAAGAAAGTAACAAATTTTGTTATGCTATAAAAATCTGTGTCTAGGGGGCCAGCAGGTGGCGTGGTGGTTAATGCTCTGAACTCCCACATGGTCAACCATGATTCGAGTCCTGGCTTCCTTTCCTATTTTCCCTTTTTCTCTCTCTGTCTGGTCAAATTAAAATAAATAATGATGATAATAAAATAAAATAATTAAAAAAAAATCTGTGTTCAGAGGTTAGTAGGTGGCATAGTATTTAAAGTGCTAGATTCTCACATGGCCAGCCATGGTTCGAGTCTTGAGCCTGGAGGCTTGCTTTCTCATTTTATCTTTCTCTCTCTCCCTCTTTCTTCCTCTGATCAAATTTAAAAATAATAATAACAAGATTAAATAATGTTTTTAAAATATCTGTATCCAGAACAAGAAATTACAAATATTCCATTTGTTTTAATAAACAAAAATGTCTTCCTTTGTAAAATGTAAACATCCAATAAATAAAACATACCTGGTATTCCAGGTATAGAAACACTAGCAATTCACCTAGGAAAGACGTGAATCCCGGTATATTTGGGTTCTGTCCTAAATACAAAGCACTTTGCCAAAAGAACCAGGCCATTATGATTTAAAACTCTACTCTTTCACCTGGTTTCCTTACTCGAGTAAAAACTTCCATTTCTATAAAGTTTTGGCTGGACGGTTAAGCCGCAGGAAAGATCTGAAATATCTAAACGTCATTTGGCTAGAGGAAGGTGTTTTCTTGAGACATGGAGGCAGCCGTTCATCCTTCTGTGCTTGAATGCGTTCCTCAGCAAACTTCTTTCCTAAAGTCGTCAGAGTAAAGCACAGGACCTGGGCTCCTAGAAGGGTGGTTTGCCTCAACCTGCAGCGCACCCTTCAGGTGTTCTGCGTGTATGAGTGCCGAAGGTCTGCGGCGCCTGGAGACCTTGGTCCCCTCCACGCCCGGCTCCAGTGCTCCAGTGCTCCACCAGGCGCCGCAGGACATTCATGCTGGCCCCAGGAGACATGGTGGCAGCGCTGGGCTTCGAGCTGTCTTCTTTCTCTTTACCATGGGCATTTAAATTAACACGCTTCTGGGGCCAGCAGGTCGTGTGGTGGTTAAGGTACTAGACTCCCACATGGCCGACTGTGGTTCAAGGCCTGGATCTAGTGGCTTGCTTTCTTATTTTCTCTTTTTCTCTGGTCAAATTTTTAAAATAGTAATAAATAATAAAAAGTTTAACACACTTCTAACAGAATTTAGTGTGCGGGGCCAACAGATGGCATGAAGGTTAAGACAGCTGGGTCCCACACGGCTGACTGACTGGTTGAGTCCCAGACCGAGGGGCTTAAGAATCACCAGGCATGGGAACCAGCAGTTAGCGTAATGGCTATGTCGCTGGACTCCCACGTAGTCGACCGAGGTTCGCGTCCCAGACCCGAGGGCTTAAAACTCATGCGGGGCGCATGTGCGTGCGTGCCCAAGATCCCAAGAGGAGAATGGAGGAGAAGGGATTGCGGCGTGACCATCCCCCCTGGGGGGCGATTTCTCACTTTCTGTCTCTATGTCTCTCTCTCTCTGTCTGTCTGGTGAGCGCACGTGCCCTATAGTGAAAAACCTCTCCAAAAAAAAAAAGAATCACCAGGCGCATGTGAATATGTGCCCAAAATCTCAAGAGGAGAATGGAGGAGAAGAGATTGTAGCAAGGCCATCCCTCTAGGGGCTGATTTCTCACTTTTCTTCCTTTCCTCTGTCTCTCTCCAGTGAGCACACGTGCCCTATGGGGGAAAAAATGTAGTCCATGAGATGGCTTTATGGCATACTCAGCACAGCACAGTAACCACACAGAGCAGCCCGGAGAGAGATGTGTTTTCATGTGGCCAGATCATCCAGTGACGTGCTGTCAGTGCCAGGTCCTATGACATGAAGCAGAAGTGGTCTGCAGAGACCGGGGACCAAGAGCCCAGATTTGGGGGCCACATTGCCTCGCTGAGTGGACAGATGAGCCACTGTCACTTGGGACCTCCCTCCGGTGGTTGGCTTGTCCCTTGGGCATCCCGTGACTCCTGTGCTGCTTGTTCTTTCTAAGCTGCGGCTGCTGGACCAGATCATCTGATAACCAGGGTCTCTTTAGGCTTGACAGCCCAGTGAGTAGTGTTCAGTTCAGCACCCCACAAAGAGAGTGTTAGATCAGATGTGTTTATACTTAAAAATACGGAATTCTGCTCTTTTCATATTTTTATCTTTAAGCTTTCACTTCAGGGTCTTTCCTGATGTATCCTGATCCCACAGTGAAAGCTCTTACACGGTTGTAGGTACTGAGCCACTTCTGTTTAAGCTTTCACACTAGGGCCACTTCTGATATTCCCCTACCACAGTGAAAGCTCTTACACGGTTGTACACACTGAACCACTTCCGTTCTCCTTCTGGTTCCTTGATCTCCTGAATGCTGCTCGTGAGAGCTTATTTCTCTCTCCCTCTCCCTCTCCCTCTTCCTCTCCCTCCCTCTCTCTCTCTGTGGGGGGGGGCACAGACATCTGTTTTTGTTTTGCCTCACTTCAGCTGTGTTACTTCTGCAGAACTCCTCCGTCTCTTGTTACTTCTGCAGAACTCCTTCTCCGTCTCTTTCTCCCCCTAATTGCCAGGGGCACATGAGAGACAGCGGAGGCAGCGTGTGGGCGCAGCACCCCAGTGGTCCTGCTGCAGCCCCTCTCCTCCATTCCGGCAGGCTGTGGGGCACACAGGTGTGCATCACGTGCACACAGTGTGTTTTCCAGCTGCTGGGGCCAGAATCCCAAGTACAGTCAGCCACGTTAGATGGCTCCCACGCAGTGTATAACCACCGTGCTGTGGGGCTGGCCCTGGGTGTGTCTGATCCTGCCCAGGACTCCGCCATGGTTGTCTCAGAGGGCTAGGAGCCCGCCTGCACTGCCGTGGCCGAGTGCGTTTAAAAATGTGAGTCTCAGATGTGTTTGGGATTTAAGTTTTGACTCCACTTACAAGTGCATACGTCGGCCTTTTTACCGCATCACCGTGACTGGGACATGCTTACTCCCCAAGGGCGGTCAGTGGGCAGGGAGAGCTAGGTGAGGGCAGCCCTCGCCCATTCTTCCCAGAGCTCCGTGTTCTTAACCAATTTTGCATATTTTTTTTCTTTTGCCTATTAAAAGGTTTACTTTCTTCTTTATGCTCAGAAACAAAGAAACGGCCTTGCCCCCTCAACAGGGTCTCATCTTGAGGGAATGGGGGCAGAGCTAGTGACGGGAGGGGGCTGTTGGTGTGAGGTTGAATATGGAAGTTCTTTCTCCCCCCATCCCTGCTATTACTCCTCTCTTCAACGTCCCCCTCCAAAACATTTAGGTGTGAACACAACTTGCCACCCACGGGGTCTTGGGTAGGCACAGCTGTAGGAAAGAATTAATGCCCGCTTTCATTAAGACGTGGGTCCAGTGTCTTGGGGGAAAGGGGAGAGGGAGGGAACGGGTTGGTCGAGGGAGCTGCCGACTGGAGGAGAAGGGAAGAGAGGCTGGGACCCTTGCCCCCATAACAGTGGGGGTCTTGGTCCTGCCCCTGCCTCTCCCAGCACCATCCACTCCCTCCTGAGCCCCCCATCCTAGCAGAACTGGTCGTCATAGTCGTCCTTCATCCCCTTCAGCCAAAGCCGGGCAAAGTCCTTGAACACAATGTCATCGTCTGTGGCAATTGTGCATTTTAGAAGGGGCAAATATTTATGTAATCCTCTAAGATATATTTTTGGATCTAAATTATTTTTGAGATGTTAATGAACACTTTTTTATGACTTTGGTAAAATGACTATCATCACTGCTCACCAGTTGTTCTTCCATTCCTTACAGGCTTCTCTATAGCTTAGCTTTTAATGCCAGATTCCTGAGGCACCTTTGGTTTCTGATATCGTCCATGACAACACGGATGATCACAGGGTACGTGTTGCACAGTCTCACACGCTGAGTTTAAGGGGTGGACAGTGACACCAGTGAAGAATGTCTGAGCCGGTGTTTGTACGTATTACTTATAACTAGCTTGTTCCGCATTGGGGAAATCCACGTGCTCTCCGTCTCACTAGAAGTGCTAGTGCTCACTCGACCATTGTCTGTATGTAGTACTAAGAGCACGCATCTGGAGGTAAGGCTTGTTTGTAACATCGCGGTTATTCTTATTTTTTTTAAGTCAGAGACTTGAAATTTCTTTGCTCAACATGGCTGTCAACGTGAAAAATACAGGTTTTAAAGCAAATTTAACACCATTACTAACAATGTAGAAATTGGGTTTTTAAACTGTTTGAAGTCATTTTAATTTACTTTTTTTTTTTGAGAGTGTTTTTTTGCTATAGGGTGCATGCGCACGCCAGAAAGACAGAGAGACAGAGAGACAGAAAGCGAGAAATCACCCGCCCCCCACGGGGGGATGGCCACGCCGCAGTCCCTTCTCCATTCTCCTCTCGGGATCTTGGGCACGCATGCACACGCGCCAGGCGTGAGTTTAAGCTACCGGGTCCAGGATTCGAACCACAGTTGATTATATGGGAGTCCAGCAACATAGCCATTACTCCAATTGCTGGTCCCCAGTCATTCGATTTTTCAACATATGAATCATTATGAACCTTGAAATAGAATGTCTTCACCATATGTTAAGTGAACGTGTAATAGGTAGAAAGTTCACTTTTAAAACTGACTCAGCCCTGGGGCAGCATGCCGTATGGAGGTTAAGGCAGCTGGATCCTACATAGCAGCTCGGTGGTTTGAGTCCTGGACCCAACAGCTTGAAGGTCACATTGGGCACCTGTGTGTGCATGCCTTAGATCTGAAGAGGAGAATGGAGAAGAGATTTCAGCATGGTCATCCACCTGGGGTGGGAGGGGGGATGACTTTTCACTCTTTCTGTCTCTGGACAGTTCACACACCTTAGCAGAAACAAACAAAGATTGCTTCAGTCCATCCCCCTTCATAGCCCCCGGCAGAAGACTGAGCCGGCCCTCTGTACAGTGATGGAAAAGGTGTGTGGGTGACTCAGCTAACTCCCAAACGCTGGTGCTCACCGAGTGGTCGTGCCAGCACCTGCACCGCCATCCACGTGCGTGAGCTGACCTGTCCTGTGGGGGAGAGGCCCGTCCAGATTAGGGTGAGAGTGGGGGAGGAGGAGATGTTTTGTTTTGGTTTTCATTCTAGGAATTAGAATTTGGAAGTAAGAGTTCTGAGTGTGTGAGTGGGAGTCTAGAATTTACACGTGAATGCACTGCAGTCTAATTTGGTCGTGGGGACTTGTGTTGGGGCTCTGAGTTTTGAGTTTTTCCGAGTGTGTAGAGAGAAAGATCAGCATGTTTTAGTGACTCACCGTCATTCACCCGAGTCCCTTTATAAATGGATCCGGTGTCCAGACCGTACATGTGAGACAGACGGTCGGCTTGTGAACAGCACAGCTTTGAGTGCCTTTTGCGTGTTTCATCTGATCGTAACAGACCTACTGTGCTTATGGAGTGCCTGAGATGGTGCTGCTGCCAGTGACACTCCTGAGGGCTGAAAGATGACTGGTGTCCACAGTGGCCAGCAGAGAGAGACGAGGGCCACGCAGGGCAACCGAACGTCTAGAAAGCTTCTGTCCTTCGAGTTCCCACTAACCTGGGGTGTTGGGCATGTTTTGTGGTGCTGTGTTTTCGGTGCATTTCAGAGGCTTCTGAAGCTGCCACCCTTGGCTGTCATAAACGACAAGTTTGCTTAGGGTAAAAGGAGATGGGAGATCGGTGCGACAGGAAATTGCATTTACCTGAGTGTCCCCGCTTAGCAACAGACGCTGCTGCCATCCCGTCTGATGGTCACTTGTGTTTTTCTCTCGTGTGGAAAATGGGTCACAGCATGCAGAGGAAAGTGGGTTGTTGATTACAGTACATGATTCATGTTCTCTGACTTAGTGACGTTGTTCAGGAGTTTAAAATTTCATTGATTCTTAAGAGTCTAAAGTTTAAGTTTCTTTTTACTGGTTTAATTTGTTAAAGTACGTCAAGAACCTTATGGTGGATTTTTGGTTCTGTTTTGTTCTGTTTTTAGGTTTTTGCCATAGGGTGCATGGGCTTGCCAGAGGGTGACAGAGAGCGGAAGTAAGAAACGACGCCCCGGAGCATGGCCGCACTGCCACGTCTTCTCTTCCATTCTCCTCTCGGGGTTTTGGGCATATGTGCACATGTACGCAGTGTGATTTTCAGACCACCAGGTCCGGGACTCAGACCGCTGTCATCCCTGCGGGAGTCCAGCCCCGTAGCTACCATACCCCCGGTAGCCCAAACTTGACCTGGTTTGAATACAGTCCTGATAAATATCTCATCATATTTACTACAGTTCAGAGTAAAATTTAAAATAGAATTCCTGATCTTCTGAAAATGGCATTGAATTTAGTTTTCAAATAGCTTCTCAGCAAGACATGCATAGCGAGACTTCTGTGGTTGTGTTAAAGTGCGGCGGGTTCCCACGTCCTGCCTCTGAGACTAGCTTCGAGACTCCAGAGTCTGAAGCCACTAGGCGGCACAGGCTCCCCGCCCCCAGCAGGGAGGGGTGGCCCTGAATACAGTCCTGATAAATATCTCATCATATTTACTACAGTTCAGAGTAAAATTTAAAATAGAATTCCTGATCTTCTGAAAATGGCATTGAATTTAGTTTTCAAATAGCTTCTCAGCAAGACATGCATAGCGAGACTTCTGTGGTTGTGTTAAAGTGCGGCGGGTTCCCACGTCCTGCCTCTGAGACTAGCTTCGAGACTCCAGAGTCTGAAGCCACTAGGCGGCACAGGCTCCTCGCCCCAGGCAGGTAGGACTGCCCTTAGACCAATCCAGAGGGACCGTGAGCAGCAGCTTATTAGTTAGCCTACATTTTGCAGATAACATTTTTACTCATGTACCTCATTTGCAATATTGCCAATCAGCCAGCTTAGTGTCCTTGTGGAAAATGAAGGAAACCACATTCCACTTTTTCGCAAAGGTGTCATTCTTTACCAAAACATGGTGCAGATAGGTGCGCGTCCGGACACTGTTGGCATGCGCGGTGAGCGTGGTGTTTGCCCTTTGGTCCGTGGGTCTCAGGGCGTCTGCCGCAGCACTCTGAAAGGTTTGTAGGCACGAATACCTTCATTAGGAAGCGAGTATTGAGGCCAAGAAGCTCCTTAAGTTCGTGGAGAGGAGGAAGAGCAGTTTCCGCAGAGACCCGTGTGAAGGTTCGTGCGGAGGCAGAGGTGACGGATCTGCCTGAGGCCTCCCTGATGGCCTGAGACCCAGCCAACCCCCAGAGTTGTGAGTCAGCGTCCTTCACCGCAGGGAACTCTGGGACTTCCACGTGCACCTCAGTCTTTGAGAGTGGCCCTTTGCAGGGGGTCTTTACATCAGTGTTTATAACAAAAGGGTGGTGACCATGGGACCCTCACTTGATCCATGTCCTGCCACAGGGGCCATTGGCATGTCTGATCCTTCTTGCTTCTCAGTTTCTATCACTAAGTGGGAATGGTCGTTCTTTTTACTTACCTCCGAGGAGCTCCATGAGAGGAAATAACTCAGTTGGCTAGGTGTGTTCCTGTTTTCCGGGGAACCAGCGTATGGGTGTCATGCCTACTGTGCAGGTGTGCATCACTGATGAGGTGAGGGTGATGGTGAGGCTGCCCATGTCACCGTGTGTTCCCGTCAGAGCCAGCTAGTGTCCGTAGTTCTGTGTCCATGGCAAGGGGACTGAAAGGGGCTGACTGTTTTGTCACGGCATCAGTCAGTGTATTTCAGCGTCTTCCTTCTGTGTCAGCAGCTCGGTTCTCAGTCCCACTGGGCAGGTGGCCTGCTGCTGGGTGCTGTGGGGAGTAACCCAGGCAGGTCTGGCCAGGGTGGCAGTGCCATGCCTCTCTTCTCCCACATAACACCTTTTCCTGCCGTCCTGGCTGTAGCAGTGAGGCCGGACAGTTGTCATCTGTCCCGTCCTGTGTGTCCCTGCTGTGCTCGCACGTGGATGAGCGGCTCTGCTCCCTCCCTGCCTGCCTTCCGGCAATGGGGGAAACCTGCGCTGCCTCCTCGAGGAGAGGAGGCTGCCAGGTCTTGTGCCCAGAGCTTACCTGAACCAGGCACCACGGACACTCGGATGCTCCTGGGACTGCAGCCCGGCCCCCGAACCCCACTGGCAGTGACTGGGCGCACGTGCTGCTCTGCTCCTCCGTGCACGCTGCGGGCCGACGCCCGGTCGAGCTCATCGGACGCACACCTGTGCTTTCGTAGAAGTAGGTGCTCAGGGGAGGAAGAGGATGGTCTTGGCCACCGTAGACTTGGCATGCTCACGGGACCATGGGGCTTTCTAGTCTGGGGAGCGCTCGGCAGGTGAGCCCTATGGTCTGTTGGTTTTCATAGGGGGAGTTAGGCCTTTTAAATGTTAACTGTTTTGTTAGACAAGGCACTGGAGAAGAAGAAACCAATTCTAGGTGGGAGATGGAGATTTGATAGAGCATAATTCTTGGTGGTGAAAGGGATGGTGAACGACACTCGGGCCACCCTGCCCTGGGCTGCTCAGGGGTCATTAGCTCACACTAAGCCAGGAGTGGGACGGGTGCCATCGCCCAGCACCATGGACAGCAGAAGACAGCCGGCAGGAGAGGGCAACTGTTCTGAAAGGTTCTGATCTGGCTTCAGTATTGGACTGTGTCCAGCCTTCCTAACCGTAGGCAGGGGCTTGGCTGGGTGTGTCTCCATGAGGCCAGAGTCATGGGCATGGTCAGGTCGAAGAGAGGGGCAGGCAGCTGTCCTCAGGAAATGACGCCTGCGTCTGGGGTAGTGGCCTTGCTCCCTGCGGCCCTCTTTGGGGCCTCGGCCTCGGTGACTTCGTTTGCCCACTTGGTAGAAGGAGCAGGCACCTGGCCAAGTTCTGTACTGTTTTTTCTGGTTTTTTTTTTTTTTTTTTTTTTTTTTTTTTTTTTTTTTTAAATGACGGCTATTTTTAACCTCTTATCAAAGTGACTTTACCTTGCCTTCATGGAGTTTAACTGCTAATGTGAAATGTTGTATTTCCTGATTACATCTGTTTGGTATCATGTCTTAATTAGTGTTCAAACTAAGAATAAGTTCCCTACCCTCTCTCCCTCTCCCTCGATCCAAGGTCTGTGGTGCCGTTGCTCCAGGTGATATCAAGAGGCTCTCCCATGTCCTTTGAAGATTCCAGTCGGATCATCCCACTCTTTTACCTCTTCAGCTCCCTGTTTAGTCACTCGCTAGTTTCCATACATGACAACGAGTTCTTCGGTGATGCCATGGAAGGTAAGCGGTTCGAGGGTTGGGCTGTTACTGGCCACGTGGCCTGTCGGCGATCACAGGACAAGAGAAAGATGTTAAGGCCTCTGCTGTGTTGGGAAATGAAAAGAAAACGGAGGGTGGAAAAGCAGGGTGTGCTCCCCCTGCAGGTCAGAGACGGCCATCAATGATGCCGTTCACTCTGGAAGAGCTGGTAATGCTGTCTCGGTGCCTTCGGGATGCCTGTCTGGGGATCATCAAGCTGGCTTACCCAGAAACAAAGCCGGAAGTTCGCCAAGAGTACGTGCTAGCATTCCAGAGCATCGGCGTCACCACCAGTTCTGAGATGCAGCAGTGCATACAGGTGGAGCAGAAACGCTGGATCCAGCTGTTCAAGGTACAGGGGTGGAGGGGTTTGGTTTTTGCTTACTGAGGTTGCATGATGCATAAATTTATCTTCACAAGAATAGAAATGCAGGTTTATTTCAGACATAATTTTAATTTGCAAAACTTTTTAGTTTTTGTTGTAGGGTACATGTCCCCAGAGGGAAACAGAAAGTGAGAAATCGTCCCCTGGAGGGTTGGCTACACTGCAGTCCCTTCTCTGTTTCTCTTAGGGTTTTTGGGACGGACATGTGCACTAGATGTGATTTTCAAGCCACCAAGGTTTTAAGGTTTTTTTGTTTGTTTGTTTGTTTGTTTTTTTTTTTTTTTTTAGAGATAGATTTTTGCTGGAACCAGCAGGTGGCATGGTGGTTAAGGCGCTGGACACTCCCACGTGGCTGACCATGGTTCTAGTCCCGGACCTGGTGGCTTGCTTTCTCACTTTCTCTCTCTCTCGTCTCTCTTGTCTCTCTGTGATCAAATTAAAAAATAAATGAATGAGTATGTAAAATTTAATTAAATAATTCTTTAAAAAAAAAAGATATTTCCTGTAGGGCATGTGTGTGCTTCCCGGAAAGACAGAGACAGACAGCAAGAAATCACCCCACAAGGGGAGTGATGGCCACGCCGTAGTCCCTTCTCCATTCTCCTCTTGGGCTCTTGGGCATGAATTCTCCTCTTGGGATCTTGGGCATGCACGCACACATGCCCGGCATGAGTTTAAGACGCCCAGTCCAGGACTTGAACCACAGTTGACTATGTGAAATTCCAGCGATGTAACCATTATGCTATCTGCTGGTCCCAAGCCACCAAATCTTGAGACGAGATTCAAACCGCTCAGTCCCGCTGCCCTAACCACCCTGCCGCTGGCTGTCCCAGTTTGCAAAACTTTTCTGTTAAGGAAAGTCTGTTTCACGTTTGTTTGTTCTTGCTATAGGGCATGCAAGGGAGAGAGAGAACCCCTTATGGGGCATGATTACACTGCAGCTCCCCCCTTCATTTTTCCATCTTGCCAGGATTTGGGGCACAGGCACACACAAGCCCAGCATGTTTTTCTAACCACGAGAGCCAGGTTTCACGCCACAGACAGCCATGTGGGTTCTAGGTCCCTGCACACTGCACATCAGTTCTGTGCTTCGGGCCGGCCCCGCATTTGCTTCACTTAAAAATGTGTTTTTGGGACCAGAAGATGGCATAGTAGTTATGTTGCTGGACTCCCACATAGTCGACCATGGTGCAAGTCCTAGACCTGGTGGTTAAAACTCATGCCAGGGGTGTTTGTGTGTGTGCCCAAAATCCTGCAAGGTGACTGGAGGAGAAGGGATTATGGTGTGGCCATCTCTCCAGAGGGTGATTTCTCTCTTTCTGCCTCTAAATACAAGCTTTTAAAGATACTTTAATTTTTCATTAAGGTGGAAATTTAATTTTCTGTTAAAACTAAAACTGCTGAGGCTTGCAGGTGGCACTGGATTTCCATGGCCAACATTGTTTGAGTCCTGGACCTGGTGGCTGGCTTTTTTTTCTTCACTTCTCTCTCTCTCTTCCTCTCTTGCTCTTCTTCTTTCTCTGTCCCTCTCTGGTCAAATTAAAATAAATAAGTTAAATAAAATACTTCTAAAAAAAGTTTAAAGCCTCTTACAGATATTTTTTCTAATTTCTTAAAAAGATGATTAACAAAGGTGGAATACATTATTAGTTTCTTAATACAAGTTGTGTATGATTCATTTAAAAAATCTTCATTTTTAGCAAACTTGGGGAAGAGCAGTTAGGCTTTGCCATGGCTGGGATATTGGCAGGAAACCACTGCCACCAGAACATAGCTGTTGAGGCAGAAAAAAAGAAAAGAGAGCGAGTGCTTGACTTCCCGTGAAATCTCTGCAGCAAACACAGCTAGTCAGCTAAAATTGCTCATTAAAGGAGCAAGAGCAGACGAAGCGCATTTCCCAAATTGAATGCTGGATTTACGGCCCGCTTAGTCTTCGCGACCTCTCGCACACTAATGTTCCCATGGAGTCATCAGCCCTCCCTGTGGGTCTTTTATCACTGCTTTTGTCAAGCGATCTATTTAATTGAAAGAAGTTAATTGAATGAAAATGATCAACTAAGCTTGTATTAATATTGCTAATGGAACTTTCTTCTTGGCCATGTTTGGAGAGAGATGTCAAACTAGACTTTAGGAAAGGCCCATTAATGCTTGCACTTAACCTGATGGGCTAATTAAGGAATGCTTATTCATCCTACAAGTCCTCAGAGTCTCTCTGCAGCCCATTCGCCTGGTTTTACAACACGTTTCTCTTACGAGCCAGAGCATTAGCAGCAGGGAGAGTAACTGATAATGTTCTGATAGCACTGGATACAGTACTAATGCCTCGTTGGAGTTATAATTTGTGCAGATTGATGTAATATGTTTGCTCAATTTATTTTAATTACCTACCACTCTGGTCCTTTAAAGTAAACTCGAGGTCACACAGTCCTTACTGTCCCTTCGTAAAGACTGACCATTTTCCATCTTTTCTAGCTAAAAAAAGCGATCTCACCCACGTAAACTTACGATTCAACAGTAATCCTTTGCTCAGTGTAGACATTATGGTAGCATATGTGTTTCCTTTCAGTATTTAATTAGTCTTTGGGATCTTTATTAAATAAAGTTTTCCATTAAGTAGGATATCAGGTTTTGTGTACACTATCAGATAATTTCATTGTTTTATAGCAGCTATTAAAAGTTTCATAATTTTTGTATGACAGGCTTATCTTTAGGACTTTGAAGTCTCCGAATTTATTAATAATATGAGGTATTTGCAATCCGAGCCCTGTTTTGTTTAGCTTTAGCTGTAAATGAAAATTCTGTAGTGAACTCTTTCCTGATGACTCATTGCTACTGTGTTGGTCATGACACTGGACGTATTAGGGTAGGAGCTCCCTTCTCTCTTTCAGGTAGAGGGTCGTTTTAGGTCTGAAATCAAGCATGAAAGGTTAGAGGTCTTTTCAGTGTAGAATTTTTCAAAGATAATTTTTTGAAAGGATTCCTATTCTTTGGCCAAAAAGTATAACCCCTGAATCATTTCATGTTACCTGTTACTGGGCTGAGCCCCAAAATAATAAGAATTGAGACACAAACTTTGAATAACTGGTTATTTTTCCTTTTGGGGAAAAAAAATCTCTCCTATGAAATAATAAGAACTTACACCTGAGTGGTTACTGTTCAGCTAGCATTCTAAGTGCTTTACACATGTTAATCCAGCTGGTACAGGTGGGCGCTTCCCAGACAGCGTCCTGATCCACAGTGGGAGAGCCAGTCGCTGCTCCACACCCTTCACTCTGAAAGGCACTGAAACAAAACTTCATCAGCATTTTTCATACATTACATTGCTGGTTTTTTGTTTTTTTGGTTCTTTCTTTTTTTTTTGGAGAAGTTTTTGCTATAGGGAGCGTGCGCTTGCCAGACAAACAGAGAGAGACAGAGAGCTAGAAAGTGAGAAATCACCCCCCAGGGGGGATGGCCACGCCGCATTCCCTTCTCCTCCATTCTCCTCTCGGGATCTTGGGCACACACGCACATGCGCCCCGCGTAAGTTTAAGCCACTGGGTCCGAGACTTGAACCACAGTCAGCCACATGGGAGTCCAGCGACCTAGCCATTACACCAACTGCTGGTCCCTACACTGCCAAATTTGAGTTGAAGAATTCAAGGTAGAATTAACCAAAGAATGTAAAAGTTGTTTGCCGTGACTTCCTGCCTTCCGTTGATTTCGGCAGAGTTGCCACAAGTGATGAGACCTGAGTCTTTCAACACCGGCTGCTTTCCTTTTTCAGTCTTATGATGGTCCTCTCGAACTAATTTGTGAGAGAGGCTTTGTTGGCTGGTCACAGGACATAGAATTTTAAGTGGATAGAGTCATCTTTCTCTGTCACTGTAAGAATTGAGGTCATTTTCTAAGCCCTGCATTGACACTACTAAAACAGTTTATGCATTCATCAAATTTATAAACTCCTCTCGAAGTGTAATTTATAGCCGGGCTTGCGTTAGCTCCACGAGGGCAGAGGCGGTCCCATCTCGGTAGGTCTTCGTGTGCTGCTACCAAGCTTATGGGCTTACCTCCAGGGACAGTCGGCAGGGGAGGGGGGCGAGGGTCCTGCGCCTCTCTGACCCGTACGAACTGTGCAGAGAGGAGAGCGATCTCTTGGGGGATCCATAGAAAACTTGTGGAAACTGAATATTGTGGCCAACCGACGCATATGTTTCCCCCCAATTTTTTTAAAATTTTGCCAGAGGGCACATGTGCTTGCCAAGAGATACAGTGAGAAAAGACATCTCTCTCTCACACACACACACACACACACACACACACACACACACACACATTTTGGGAATGGTCTGTCCGCAGTCCATTCCCCTCCCCTCTCCTTCCGGGATTCTGAACACGTACTCGACACACACCAGCATATCTCTCAAGCTGCCAGGTCTGGGACTTGAACTCTGGAGTCAGCCATTGGGAGCCAACTGCCTTAAATACTAGGCCACAGAGCCAGCCCATGTTTCAGAAATTTTCTTACATTAAAATAAGCTCATGCTTACATTCCATTTCCCATGAACTCTTGAGGTCCCCTTATAGGGTATGAGTGAATTTCACTTTCTTGGTGTTAATTTGTCTAATTTTATTTTCAAAACAGCTTTTTATGCCTTCATGAAAATGTGTACCAGAGAGAGAAGGAGAGAGACTAGCAGCCTCCGTGGGGTCTGGTCATGGCGAGACCCCCTCCTTCCAGCCTCTTAGGTCCTGGGCAGCTGTGCAGGTGCCAGTCTGTCCTCAGCCGGCAGGCTGGAGCCTCTGTGTCGGGTCCAGCTCCCTGCAGCAGTTGGTAACTGTCCATGCCAGCTGCAGGTGCCATGCAGCATGGCTGGCCGTGGCTGGCTCCCGTTGAAATGGGCCATGTCTTTTTCCGTCTTTGTTTCTGTTTTATTTTCCAACTACTGCTTAAAATGGATACTTTAACAATGAACTTTGTAGTGTTTTAAACATGTACTAGAAAATACTGTCATCTTTCAAAATAGAACAGTTGGAACAAGTGATAGCCCTAAGGGCTCTGTCACGGTCCACACAACCAGCTCTAATTAGTGGTGACTCAGGCCTGCGTTGGCCGACCCTCCCAACAGCATCCAGCCAGGTAGTCTGCGCTGCCATAGGGCAGGGTGTGGTTTCTCCCCTTACCAGACACCCTGGCTCAGCCTGCACCCGGGGATCATAAGTGGATCAGCCCGAGCTCCTGTCCCTGCAGGGTCACGGTGTCGTGACAGAGATGAACACTCGCCGGAGACAGGGCAGCGGAGCATGGGGATGGGCAGAGCTGTGCACACCCTCTTGCCGTGTAGTCACTTCAGGAAAACCGTCTTTCTCCCGGGAGATAGTGTTCTCAGAGCTGTGTGACCAGTTCTGTCATATTTCACTTTAATATCTTTTTCGCTATTAAGTCAAATTAAAAATAATTCTCATTTGATGTATTTACTGCCTGTAAATTGTGTGATCTTACATGTGCTTTGCACTGAGCTTTCTGAAGAATGAGCTGAGCTTCTTGGTTTACCTGGCAGAGTTTACATACCAGGATTAAGATAGAGAGGTGATTCCTGTATATTACAGTGTGGTTTCTTTCCCCAGTCGCCTTCCATGTCGTGTCACATGTGTGTTATGTTATGATACGGTGGTATGGGTAATGCTAGGGCATGTTTCTCCAAGGTCAGTTAAGCGAGATTTTCTTGGGATCATTGTGACCAGTGAGCTCAGATGCTCAGGCATCTTGTGAAAACAGTGCCTGTTGGCTTATAATCTTCAACAGGGACAGCTATCAAAGTGTGATTTTTTTCCGTTTGTTTTTAAGGGGTCGCTATATTTCTTTCTTTCTTTTTTTTTTTTTTTTTTTAAAGAGAGATTTTTGCTATAGGGTGTGTGCACTCCCAGGAAAGAGAGAGACAGAGACAGAAAATGAGGAAACCTCCCCCCACCGCCCCAGTGGGGAGGGCCGTGCTGCAATCCCTTCTCCTCCGTTCTCCTCCCAGGATCTTGGGCGCATACGCACATGTACCCAGCCTGAGTTTAAGTCTCCAGATCCAGGACTCAGCCCCGCAGTCAGGATACGTGGGGACCCAGCGACATAACCCTTACACCACCTACTGCTTCCAAGGGGGCCTTATTGATCTCTTCAATGTTGGGTGTAAAACTGGCTTATAAATAACACCTATTTTTATTTCAGGTAGTACATCATGGAGCATGTGCAACAATTGTGTGCATTTCCAAGTATTTACTTAAATAATTATTAGTTTCTGAGCATTTAACCTAAGGTATTATTTGTTTATTTTAGGGTTTTTGCCATAGGGTGCACATGCCTTGTGAAAGCACTGTAAAACCCAAGGAAGTCTTCATTTGATGCTCTGAACAGAGAGAGTTTAGGGTGAGGATTGACATTTCACATTTAGCATGTTGTTTAAGAACTTTGCTTGAGCCAACCCTGACTTTCAGGAAATCAAAATGGCAGCATTACCAACCTGAGGGCCCAGCAGTATAGAAAAGGAACTGCCCCTCTTTTGAAGGAGGCCATCAACTGTGATTGCAAAGTCTAGACTGCCTGACATACTGGTAACCAATTTTTTGTGGTCGGTCCTAACAGGTCTTTTGTTTAAGGGAATTAAGGCTATGCTGAAGGCAGAGAGGTGGAGCACATAAAAAGCAATTCTGTTTTCCACACCTCAGGGCATCTGTGCCAAGGTGGCTGTGTGCACCAACATCAGGGATGGGAATCCCTCCTCCTGGGAGCCAAGAGGAAGTCTCTCAGAACTAGAATGGAGGGGCCAGCAGGTGGTATAGTGGTTAAGGCGCTGGACTCCCATGTGGCTGATTGCCGTTTGAGTCCCTGACCCGGCGGCTTGAAACTCATGCCAGGTGTGTGTACATGTATGCCCAAGATCCTGAGAGGTGAATGGAGAAGAAAGGATTGCAGCGTGACCATCCCCCCTGGGAGTGATTGCTTGCTTTCTCTCTCTGTCTTTCCCTGTCTCTGGCAAGTGCATACACCCTATAGGAAAAATCTCTCAAAAATAAAACAAAAAACTACAAGAAAAAAATGTTATCCAAATCAATCCAGCTTCAGAGACATTCTAGTAGTGACAAATGCCCCTTCCAAAAAAAAAAAAGCGATGAAGTATTCTTTGTGCTGATGACATAGCTTAAAAAAAAAAGGTAAAACAAAATTTTGCATTTTTACCAAACTTGATAAAAGCTAGGATTTCAAACTGCACAGTCAGCAGGACAGGCATCACAGACACACTTTTTCTCCAGCACCTTCATCCTTGTGCCTGGTCTGTTTGGGCATCTCCGTTCTCTGTAGGCACATTCCTGTCCTTGCCGGCAACAGCCTGTCCCTTTCTCTTTCCCAAAAAACACCTTCTCCCCGGGCGGTGCAGGCCTTCTTAGGCCCAGGCTCTGGCTGTGGAGGAGCAGGTCACACAGTCCACCTTGCAGGCTTTCTTGGTTCCTCCTTCACTTTGGCTTCATCTTCTTTTAAAATTTAATTTAAAGCATTTTTTTATTTAACTTTATGTGTTTACTTGTTTAATTTTATCAGAGGGGATTGTGGGGGGGCGAGTGAGAAGGCAAGCCGCCAGGTCCAGGACTCGAACTGTGTTCAGCCATGTGGGAATCCAGCACCCTTAACCACCATGCTACCTGCTGGCCCTGGCTTCATCTAATTTAGCCTCTCCTTCAGCCTTCCTCTTGAATGGAGGGACATGGGCGCTGGGCGTGGAGGGTGCTGCAAGTGCAGACTTTGATCAGTCTGGGGGTTGTTCTTGCCTCTTCTTCACACTGCTCCTTGTGGCTTCTTAGAATGTGTATTTTTACTTAAAATTCAGAAGAAAGGAATCAGCAGGTGGTGTGGTTAAAGCTGGATTTCATGTGGCTGACTGCCCTTCCCGAACCCCATACCTAGTGTTTTGAAGATTACTCCAGGTACATGTGTCTACGCCCAAAACCCCAAGAAGAGAATCCAGGAAAAGGGATTGTGGGTTGGTCACCTCCCTGGGGGTAATTTCTCACTTTCTCTTTCTATCCAGCCAGCGCACATGCCCTATAGCAAACTTGAAAGAGTAAAAAATACTTAGTGGAAAAATAGTTTATCATGTGGAAAAAAATTTTCTTAGTTGAGTTTTTAGGTATATTGTATGTAGTTTCTACAAAAGCATTTCAATTTTATTTTTATTTATTTTTTTGTCCAATTTTTTTGTTTGTTTTAGAGTTTTACTGTAGGGTACATGTGCTCACCAGACAGACTGAAAGAGACGGAGATAGAGTGCAAGAGACTGCCCCAATGGGATGACCTCAGATAGAGTGCAAGAGACTGCCCCAATGGGATGGCCTCAGCAGCCCTTTCTCCTCCGTTCTCCTTTTGGGATTTTGGGCATGCATGCACACGTGCCTGGTGTGAGTTTTAAGCTGCCAGGTTCAGGACTTGAACTGTGGTCGACTACATGGGAGTCCTGTGATATAATCATGATGCCATCTGCTGGTCCCCCATTTTACTTTTTAAAATTATGCGCCATGTAGTATTCAAGACAGACTTACCATTCTTTTTTTTCTTTCTTCTTTTTTTTTAAGGATTAGTTTATTTAACTTTACTTATTTATTTATTTAAATTTTACTGGAGAGGGGCAGTGAGAGAGAGAGGAGGGGAAAGTGAGAAAGCAAGCTGCCAGGTCTGGGACTGGAACCACAGTCAGCCACGTGGGAGTCCAGTACCTTTACCCTTCATACCACCTGCTGGCCCCATCCTTACAGTCCTTTTATTATTATTTTAAGTTTTGCAGTAGGGTGTGTGTGCTCACCAGAGAGAAACAGAGAGAGAGGGAGAAAGGAAACCACCAGGTCCAGGACTCAAACCACAGTCAGCACGTGGAAGTCCAGCACCTCAACCCGCACGCCAGACTTACAGCTCTTTATAAGAGGCAGTGTTAAGACATTTGATTTGGTTTTTATCTGAAATTAGAATCTAAGGTGTCCAACATTTTCACTGGCATTCTTTTTTAAGGCTCATCAACAAGCTTGGTTTTTTTTTATTTATTTTTAGCAATGTTTAATTATCTTGGTACATTTCTCTTCAATAGAAACCCATTTTTTTTTTTTTAATAAATAGTTTATTTTGTTATTATTATTTGCTTAGGCCAGAGAGAGAGAAAGGGAAAATGAGGAAGCAAGCCGCCAGGTCTGGGACTCGAACCGCAGTCTTCCAGGTGGGAGCCCAGCACCTTAACCACCACATCACCTGCCTACCCCCAAAATGACTTCAGATGTTTTTAAATAGACAGTGCGATTAGATCTCTAGCCGTGTTTTATAAGAATCGCACACGATCTCTGATCCCAGGTCAGTCATTAACTACCTACCAGGTTCGTGGGTGCCTGGTTGGGTGCTGTTCAGGAAGAGCTGACTCCACGGCCAGCTAGAAGCCTTTGTCCCTCCAGGAGGGACAACCTAGGACTGAGCTACGATGCCGTGGCAGGAGCCATAGGAGCGGGGCCATTGAGGACACTTCATCCAGGAGTGGGACTGGAATCCGAGGGCCAATGTGGAACGCAGCCTGGCTGCAGGGAAGTGCCGGGAATGTCACTCTTCAGCAGGCAGAAGGCACGTCTAGAATGCTTCCCCTCCGCCCTTCTCTGGCGTTTCTCAGGAAAAGAAGGGAGGCGTGTTTCAGAGTTGCCACACGGGGTGGGTCGTCCCTTGGAGGGCAGATGAGCAACCTCTCTCAGTTTTGCGTCACTGTCTCCCGTGCCCGCTCGCTGTCGGTGCAGGCGCATCTGCGGCGGGGGCTGTGCTCACAGCAGTCTCCATGCACAGCAGGCCTCCTCGCCTGCACGTGGACGTGGAGGCCCGTGCGTGTTCCTCCCGCGTCCACCTGCCTGCTTGCTGCTTGTGCTGTGTGCCTGCAGCTCGGAGCTTGTTTGGGTGACACGCTGCCTTCCTCTGCAGGTTATCACCAACCTGGTGAAGATGCTCAAGTCCAGAGACACCAGGAGAAACTTTTGCCCTCCAAATCACTGGCTCTCAGAGCAAGAGGACATTAAAGCAGACAAGGTATTACTGGGAAACCACTTCCCTCTCACGGACGTTGCCCCAGCTTTTCTCTTCCTGGGTAGGTGACTGAATGCATTAAAGGTGTGTGGCCCTCCACTTTGGATGGAACTCGGTGTAGGTGCGAACCTTCTTCCTCGTTCAGGTCATACAGTGGACACGGGGCAGTGCTGTTGACAGGACAGCCATTCCCAATCTGTTAACATGTCCCAGCTTCCACTTCTTAACCTCAGTTTAAAGCCTAATCATTCTTTATTGGGGTTGGAAATGATTTTGCTTTTCTTGGTATTAATTAAAAATTCACGTTCAGTACCGAGAAGGGCAGAGACGAGTTTGAATCTTACTAAGGTCTAGTCTGAAGCAGGTTGAGCGGTGTGGTATATCAGAAGACATTTAAATGCCATTAACTGAGGGTTTGAGGTATTTTCATTTTTGTTTTTCAGGAAAAATTGTGACCTTATCAGTTTTAGAACCTGGAGGTGGGCACCAGAAAGGAGGTGGGGGTGTATAGAGAAGTCAGGGTGACAGAGATGAGTGGGAGGAGAGGAAGCACAAGTGTTCCAGCGCAGTTCCATGAGCACCCCTTTATTACCTCTACATTAATCACCAGCCTCTAGCTGTGCTGTGACAAGGTCCAGAAAGAGAGGTTAGTACTGCGGTTGTGAGGAGCTCCAGGTCCTTAAGGCCAGCAGTTAGCGTCATGGCTGTGTCGCTAGACTCCCACGAAGTCGACTGCGGTTCGCGTCCCAGACCCGGTGGCTTAAATTCACACCAGGCATGTGTGCGTGCGTGCCCAAGATCCCGAGAGGAGGAAGGAAGAGAAGGGATTGTGGCATGGCCATCTCCCCGGGGGGGTGATTTCTTGCTTTCTCGCTCTCTGTCTCTGTCTGGCGAGTGCACATGCCCTATAGCAAAAACCTCTCCAAAAAAAAAGAGGAAGTTCCAGGTCCAGACAAGAACTCTAAACAACATTTCCCATGGAAAATAAACTGTCCTTGCGCACAGCCTGGTTCTCTGTCTGAGGAGAGCGCGACCAGTCCTGCGTGGAGTGTCTGAGGGTGGCAGGGAGGCAGGGTCGTGCAGAAGGATTGGGCCCCCTGGAGGGCCCGGCTGGCCAGTGGCCCTTCCATGAGAACAGCTGCAGTAAGAATGGCCGCAGAGCAGGGGACGGCAAAGGCGTTTAGCTGTGCGAGTTCGTTCTGGAAGTCAGAAAGAACCAGAGCCTCATCAGGCATTTTTTGAAAACTATTTAGAAAAAAAGAAGTAACCACACGATAGCCCACCCGTGCCTTGGGCCCCAGATGCTTAGTGTTGTTCCCACGATGGTCACCGGCTCTGGAGGCACCGGCTCTGGACTAGAGCGCTGGCTCTCCATCCCTCTGCGCCCCAGGCCACCGGCGAAGCAGCGCGTGAGACCAGGGTCTGGAGCTAGAGTACAAACCACACTGCACGCCTTCCTCACTCCAGAGAGGGCTGCGGGAGGTGGGGAAACGTCAGTGGAGCCCGGCAGCACCCGGGATGATGCTCGCGGGGTGTGTGCGTGTGCATGCCGTGGCTGAGCTGAGCTGCCGGTGCACGCTGCCCTGCCAGCAGCTCTGACCTGGCTGAGCTAGCAGCAGGGGTGCCTCCTGGGAAACACTTCAGCCACAGAGTCAGATGGGTACCGTGGGATCTCCAGCTCTAACCCCAGGTTCCTAGACAGGGGCGGGGTGACAGCCCTGTGAGGGTGCAGCCGGCCAAGGCCACAGGGAAACTGAGACAGCAGCTGTTGGTCTATTAAACGCGGCAAGTGTCAAAAGGAAGGGATGAGAGGAACTGACAAATCTTTAAGAACTTGAGTAAAAGTATACTGTGCCAATATGGATGCTAATTCAACCAAGTTTTTAAAATACATTACAAAGTGAATTTTTATAATAGTGAGAAGGTAGTTTTTTTGGGCCACCAGGTGGTGTGGTGGTTGGGGGCTCTGGACTCCCCCACGTCTAACTGTGGTTCGAGTCCTAGACCGGCGGCTTGCTTTCTCTCTCTCTCTCTCTCTCTCTCTCTCTGTATTTCACTCTGGTCAAATTGAAAATAACAATGATGATAAATAAAAGAAAAACAATTCTTAAAAAAATTAGAGATTAGTTTTTTTAGGTGTGATGGTTTCTCTTCATAAAGCAGTTATTAAGATATTTTACTGTGTCCGGATACAGCGCTTCATCAAATAAAGCAACTAAGGGATTCTTTGGGAAGGATTGGGAAGTACTCCACTGTGGAAGTGTTACAGGGTAACTGGTGTGTGAGAGAGATCCAACTGGGACTGGGGACGTTGGGTCCGCCAGGAGCCCAGCCTGTTGGGGGAGGGGGGCGAACATCGGTTCTGCTCAGCTGTGAGCAGGGCAGAGTGAGCCAGGACACAGGAAGTGCTGATGAGGCTGTCGTCCCCAGGTCAGCCAGCTGTACGTGCCAGCGTCCAGACATGTGTGGAGCTTCCGGCGCATGGGGAGGATCGGCCCGCTGCAGTCCGCCCTGGACGGTGAGTTGTGCTGGGTGCGTGGGCTCGCCAGGAGCTGCAGGTACAGCCGTCTCCCTGGGGCCCGTCCAGCCTCTGTTCTTTCTCCCCTGTTTAGTTTCTGCTCTCCGTGAGTGAGGGAGTCCACTAGGCTTCCGTCTCCTACTGAGTGTGGGAGCTCTGTGCTCTGGAAACCTTCCTGTCTCCACCGTAGGAGGTGTACTTTGGACGGTTGCTGTTGACTGTTAGAGTTTACTAAAAACTAGGAGAATCTTTTTAACTAGTTTTTTGGTTTGTGTTTTTTTTTTGTTTTTGTTGTTTTGTTTTGTTTTTTAGTGAAAACTAGGCTTTAGAACCTTATGTGAATTTAATGTTTTATAGATGCTTCATGTTTTGGTTAAAAATTGACTTGCCAATAGTTTCTATCTGAGGTTTGTCCTTTCCTGTTCTCTTAGAACTGCTAAGAGAGATAATTTTTGTTTTTTAAAATGATAATGTTGACTTTTTTGCAAGAAATAGAAGGGGTGGACCTTGGCGTCTAACTCCACACCAGGAGGGGCAATGTTGGGCTTGGCAGGAGTGGCCGTCACTGTGCCAACTGTGGTCTGTCTCTGCCTCAGTGAACAGGGGCCCAGCTTTACGATGTTACCCTGTGCTGTTATAGGTTCATACCCAGATGTTTTTAACATAAATTGCTGTGTGATGTGAAACTTTTTCCTTACAAAAGTTGCTTCTCCAGTGTTGGCTCTCCAGTTCGCGGAGGCTGACATCCCAGAGTGCTCCCTGGCTTGGGCAGGCTGGAGGACAGTGGGCTCTGCAAGGCAGCACCCGGCGCACCAGACCCTGAGAACAGCGGGTGGGCGTGTGAGGGAAGAGCAGCTGTGCTTACCTGCACCAATCCTTCCCTCACACTGCCTCACACGCCCTGAGATGGTGCCGGGCCTACGAAATGCAGCCGGCTCTGCTCGATGCTGAGTATTTCAGGAGGCCTGTGTCTGTTTTTGTTGTTGGGGCCAGGGTCTGGCCCACCCTAAGGCGTCTTAATTGCCATGACGGTCATGGCCCTCTTTATCCTGACTGGCTCCTCATTTATCATGCTGTTTTATATGTAGCTCCTTTTTGTTTTGTTTTCACGTAAACATTTTCACTTACTGTCACACAATTGTGTAATTCATCTGTAAGGTCAGAAAGTAAAAAAAAAATTATAGGGTTAAGATTGGGACCAGCTGGGAACCAGCAGTTAGCGTAATGGCTGTGTCGCTGGACTCCCACGTAGTTGACCGCGGTTCGCGTCCCGGACCCGGTGGCTTAAAAAACTCACGCCGGGCGCGTGTGCGTGCGTGCCCAAGATCCCGAGAGGAGAATGGAGGAGAAGGGATTGCGGCATGGCCATCCCCCCGCCCTAGAAGTCGTACAAATTAATGTAAATAGGATACCTGGAGAAAGAAAGAAATTACTTAAGTTTATCATAAAATAAATGTGAAGTTATGGATTTACGGGATCAGCAGTTGGCATAATGACTATGTCGCTGGCTCCCATGCAGTTGACTGTGGTTCGCGCGGCGGCCCCGGTGGCTTAAACTCACGTCGGGCGCGTGTGCGTGCGTGCCCAAGATCCCGAGAGGAGAATGGAGGAGAAGGGATTGCGGCATGGCCATCCCCCCGGGGATGATTTCTCACGTTCTGTCTCTCTCTGTCTTTCTGGCAAGTGCACGTGCCCTATAGCAAAAGAAAGGAAGGAAGGAAGTAGAGGCCGCTTGAGTTGCCACTGCACTCTGGTGTCCTTGGGCCACTGCCGCCAGAGGTGTGGGGAGCGGCACTGCATGGAGTCCAACTGGCCCTGCCTGGCCATCAGTAGACACGCGGCAGACCTGCTGCGTGTGCCGGCCGACTGTGTTCACAGCGCATGTGACCGTGCCCCTTACAGGTGGGACACGTTCTGACAGGTGTCGTCAGGAGGCCTGGTTGTGAGCAGGGCAGAGTGCACTTACATAGCCCTAGGTGTGCAGCCTCCTCCTTGCCCAGGCTAGATGTTGCAGCCCTTTTTTATTTTCTTTTTTAAAGTTGTTTTTTTTTTTTTTTGCCATAGGGCATGTGCGCTTGCTGGAGAAAGAGAGAGAGTGAGAAATCACCCTGCCGGGGAGGCAGCCACTCCACATTCCCTTCTCTGTTCCCCCTCAGGATGTTGGGCACACATGTGCACACGCCCAGCATGGTTTTCAAGCCACCAGGTCTGGGCCTCAAACCACAGTCAGCCATGTGAGAGTCCAGCGCCTTAGCCAGCACGCTCCTGCTGGCCCCAGTGGTGCAGCCTTTTGGAATCTGTGACACCATCACCTTCCAGCAGTCCAGGCTGGACCAGAACGTTGTTGCCTCACGTGGCTGTGTGAGCCGACTGCGCTGCAGTGCAGGGAGCGTGACCTGGATGTTCCCTTTAGTGTGGAGCACTGGAGGGAGCCCTTCTCAGAATCACATCCTGAGCCGTTACAAACCTTCAGCGTTTCCCTCTTGAAATGAGTTGGAAAAGACCGAGTAATGGCACATCGTGTCACACACAGCTCTCTGACAGTTGGAGAAGGAACAGGTGTGCATTTGCTAACTCAGACCAGACCAGGCCACTCGTGGCATCCCTGGCCACACACATCCTAGCCTGGAGCAGCTTGCTTGGCACGATGGGAGGAAAAGCGCAGCCACAGACGGCACCTCTGGCCGTGCAGCCACTTGGTAGTGGAGGAGGAGATCCTGACAGGGATGAGGGACATCACAGGACAGCCCTGAACAGGCCCTGCTCTGCTCCACTCTGGTTCATGTGGTCCAGACGACCAGAGCCGGGTGGAGATGCTCAGGGACTTGAGGGCAACGGGCTGTTATTTTACTGGGCTGACCCCATAGTGTTATGGTTGAGGGAACCAGGGCCCAAATGGCTGACTGAAGCTCGAATCCCAGCCCAGTGGCTTGAAAAACAGGCCAAGCACGTGTGTGCCCACATTCCTGACAAGGTGGAGAAACAGAGAAGAAAGTGTAGCATGTACACTCCCTAGTGGGGTGCTCTCACTCTGGCTAGTGCGTGCACCCAGAGGTTAGAAACTGAACAGGTTATTGAAATGATTGCTCCCCCTCTTTCTTTTTCCCTTAATTTTGCCGGAGGGCATATGAGCTCTCTAAAGATAGGGTAGGAAAGCACCCCGTGGGGAGGCGGTCATGCCGCAGTCCCTCTTCCATCTCTGCCCATCCAGGGTTTGATCATGTACACCTGTCCAGTGTGTTTCCCAGCAGCTGAGTCTGAGACTCAGACCGCGCATGGTCAGCCATGTGGGATCCAGACACCCTAACCATCACGCCACAGACTGGCCCTGTTTTACCAGTCTTCCCCCACACCCCCAGAGAGATTTTTTTCCTATAGGGTGAAGGCATTCACCAGAGAGACAGAGACATAAAAACAGAGAAGTCAGCCCTGAGGAGGGATGACCACAACGCAGTCCTTCTCCATTCTTCTCCTGGGATTTGGGAGCATACACGCACACACACACCTGGCATGAGTTTCAAGCCACTGTGTCCGGGGCTTGAACTGTGGTTGACCATGTGCGAGTCTAGCATCCCACCTACACAACCTGCTGGCCCCAGCAGTCTTAAGAATGGTTTGATGAGGCCAGCAGGTGACGTAGTGGCTAAGGTGCTGGACTCCCATTTGGCTAAACAGGGCTCAAGTCTTGGACCTGGTGGCTTGAAGATCATACTGCACACGTGCATGTGCACACCCAGATTCCCAGGAGGAGAGTGAAAGAAAAGGGACTGTGGCATGGCCATCTCCCCTGAGGCGGATTTCTCGCTTTCCCTCTTACTGTCTGTCTCTGGCAAGTGCATATGCCCTATGGCAAAAATAGTTTAAAAAATAAGAATCGTTTCATAAATCTTGACCTTAAATGGGAACTATAGAACTAACTACATTTGTAACCCTGTTGCAGTGGGTTCGGAGTCCCCACCACTCTCTGTGTCTGAGGAAAGGCAGCTGGCCGTCCTGACGGAGCTGCCCTTCGTGGTTCCGTTTGAGGAGCGGGTGAAGGTATGTGACCTGGGTTTTTAATCAAGAGACTTCTTATGTTTTCTAGTTATTTATATTGGTATCATGTTGTATAATAAAAACTAATACATCAACAAGAAAACTGTCTAAAGTTGCATAGTACCTGCATAATTTTATATTTTTCTTACCAGATTGCAGTAGCTCACAGTTGTCATAAAACAGAACCAGCACCCCTGGGCCCCACCTTTGGCTATTTGTAAACGTTGCTTCCCTTAGCCGTAACTGGCTGCGAGGCCCGCCATGTTACAGATTTCCCACAGCAGAGGACAAAGGTCCTCTCCTACTGAATTGGCCAGCCATTTGTTCAAATGCAGCTTTTTGCAGTTTTCCCTCTGCACCCTTCCCTATCACAGCACAATTCGTAGCTGTGCAAGGAGGCGAGTGGGGGCTGACTCCCTGCTGCGGACCTGACTAATCTGTGAAGGTTCGTGTGCACTTATCTATTTCCACATCAAATTTAAACGTTTTGTTTCTATTTTCTAGCTATATTTAGCAAACTTCTATGAATTAAAGAGTTGCTTTGGGGCCAAGCAGGTGATGTGGAGGTGAAAGCACTGCATCCTACCTGGCCAGCTTCACAGTTCTAGTCCTGGACCTGGCAGCTTGAGAAGCACACCAGGCACATGTGCATGTGTGCCCGGGATTCCTAGAGGGGAGTAGGAGAAGGGATTGCACTGTGGCTATCTCCCTGCCCTGCGCCCCTGAGGGAGGATTTTTCACTTTCTCTTTGGTGAGCGGACACACACTGTAGTGAAAAAAAGAGAGAGGGAGCTTCTTTTGAAGCTGTCACTCTCTCTTTATTTAAAACCACCCCTCCACATACACACATACTTCCTGAACTCCTTCTACGTGTTTTTTTTTTTTAATTATTTATTCATTTTGATTTATTATTATTTTATTTGCTATTGGCGATATGCACTCATCATACAGAGAAAGCAAGCCATCAGGTCTGGGACTTGAACTTCATTCGGCCATGGGGGAGTCCAGCACCCTAACCACCATACCACCTGCTATTACCCCTCTACTGGATCATATGAGGAAAGGGATTATGGGGTGGCCATTTCCCCCAGGGAATGATTTAGCACTATCTGTCTCTCTCTCTCTCTCACCCCCAGGGAGCACATATGCCCTATGGCAAAAATTAAAACAAAGAATTTATACATGAGAATATACAATAATATAGAATTTTTGATATTTATTACAAAATGAGGGGAAAGAACAATAATGAAATAATCTGTATTTATTGATAAAGTCAATATTTGAAACATGGATGTTAAAGTGTATTTGGTATTTATGGAGATATAAAAGCTAATATGTATTTTGTTTGCTGTGTTTTTAGAATCTGTTGTATCTAATAACCTTACAACTTCCCTTCTTTGTTAGATCTTTCAAAGGTTGATTTATGCAGATAAACAAGAAGTGCAAGGAGATGGTCCATTTCTGGATGGAATTAATGTTACAATAAGAAGAAATTACATTTATGAAGATGCATATGACAAACTTTCCCCAGAAAATGGTATATCATTCTCTCCATGCGTGTGCGTGTGCGTGTGTGTGGCTGGGGAGGTTGTGGCTCTTTTGGAAAGTGGCACTCATTGCACATTACTGCCCGTCCTCCGGTGGTGTGGTGACTTTTCAGAATGAAAGTGTACTTAGCTTGGGAGATGTTTATTATCGAATACTATCCCCACGGCTGACAGGCGGCTGTTACAGCAGAGTCCCTTTACTGTGCTCATTTTGCTGTGCTTGCCAGAGGTCTGTGCATGCGTGAGAGACAGGGAGGGAGAAGGAGAAGTACTCCCCATAGAGCATGGCCGCATCGCGAGCAGCCCCTTCTCCTCCTTTCTCCATGCTGGCAGATTTGGGGCACCCATGCACGTGTGCCTGGCATATTTCCCAGGTGTGGTAACCATGGAGGACCTGCTGCCTTACCCTCGGCCTTGCAAGCAGCCCCAGATTCCTCTCGAGGCAGGAAACTGACCCCACCCCAGTTGCCTGTCTCCGAGATGCAGTTTACAACCTCTAGTTCTGAAAAGCGCTGGCAGCCATTTCCAATCTATATTTCCAATATAAATAAATATGTATGTATGTTTCACACACTATAAGCCAAATTAAGTATATTAAATATTGTAATTCTAATTTCTTTAAAATTTATGAAGTGCTATTATTAAAAGAATTACTTTGTACTAATTTGGATAACATTTGGAAGTCTGTGACACAAATTCTATCTACATTAATATTTGACACCAGTGGGGTCAGCAGAGGGCATAATGCTTATGTCGCTGGACTTCCATGTGGTCAACCGCAGTTCGAGTCCTGGACTCCGCAGCTTGAAACTCATGCTAGGCTCATGGGCGTGCATGCCTCCTCTCCCAAGAGGAGAATGGAGGAGAAGGGATTGTGGCATGGCCATCCCCCCGAGGGGTGATTTCTCACTCTGTCTCTCTGGAGAGTGCACGCACACTATAGCCAAAAAAGTTCTCACCAGTGTTAAAAGTGTTAGCATTGCCTTTTTTTTAATTAATTAATTTATTTTACATTTGGTCACAGAGATGGGGGGAAAGCGAGAAAGCAAACTGCCAGGTCCAGGACTTGACTTGTGGTCAGCCAAGTGAGTGTTCAGCATCTTAACCACTGTGTCACCTGCCAGCCCCAAAAGTGTTAGTATTATTTACCTACATGTTACAGTTTTTTTTTTTTTTAAAGAATTACTTAGTTAGTTTTATTTATTCTTACTACTTTTTAAAAATTTGTTATAGGTGCTACCCAGAGAGAGATGGGGTGGAGGGAAGAGAAAGTGGGAAAGCAGGCCACTAGGTCTGGGACTCAAACCGTGGCTGGCCATGTGGAGATCTAGTGCCTTAACCATCACACCACCTGCTAGCCCCATGTGTTCCCATTTAACTTCAGGAAATTACTCCTGACACTACGTTAAGGTAGTGCTGACCAGTGCGGAGGGGGTTAAAATTGAAAGTCTGGGGGACTGTCTTATGTCTGTACTTGCAAATGTGAGCCTGTGGCCATCTCCGTGACCAAGTCCCCATGACAGTTGAACCGCTGCTGTTCACCCCCGCCCGCCCTCCCTGAGACACACCAGGTGTGCCCACCATTCCTTGGGACCCATTGGCTGGGGACCGGCCGGGGGTTGCTGCGTGACCAGGTCCTGCAGAGGGTGTTCATCACTCTCTCTTTCTCATGCACATGAGATGTACTGAGATACAGAAAACATATGTCCTGAAAACAAGCTTGTATCTGATCTAGGTTGTCAGATGTGAAGTAACATTTGCCTTTTGTAGGAAAAGAAAACCTCTAGTGTTTTTTTTTTTTTTTTTTTAGACGTTTTTGCTATAGGGCATGTGCACTCACCAGAAAGACAGAGACAGAAAGTGAGAAATCACCTCCCGGGTGGATGGCCATGCCGCAATCCCTTTTCCTCAATTTTCTCTCAGGACCTTGGGCACGCATGCATACGCACCCGGTGTGAATTTAAGCCACCAGGTCCGGGACTCAAACAGTGGTTGACTACATGGGAGTTCAGTGACATAGCCATTACGCCAACTGCTGGTCCTGAAAAGCTCGAGTTTTTAATAACCTGTTGTTTAGATAAGGAGCCAGTGAGTTCCTGTGGCCAGTAGGTGGCATGGTGGTTAAGGGCTCCCAACTCCCACATGGCTCACCATGGTTCTAGTCCTCAACCTGGTGGCTCGCTTTCTCACTTTTCATCTCTCTCATTCTGGCGCTCTGTCCCTCTCTGGTCACATTTAAATAAATAAATAAAGTTGGATGAAATAACTCCTTTTTTTTTGAAGAGCTAGTGTCATCCTAATGTGGAAGCAGTGGAGGGACCCTAACATCACGTGCTTCTTCCTCTATTCTGACCTTTGTTGTTTGTTTGTCTTTTTTATTTCATTTATTGTTTTAGAATGATTTCCTTTATGAAACCAGCAGAGATAGTATAGTGATTATGTCACTGGACTCCCACGTGATCAACCATGATTCAAGACCCAGACCCCGCAGCTTGAAACTCAGGCCAGGCGTGTGTGCATGCCCACGATCCTGAGAGGACAATGGAGGAGAGGGGATTGCAGCATGGCCCTTCCCCCTAGGGGTGATTTCTCACTTTCTATCTTTGTCTGGAAAGCTCACGTGCCCTATAGCAAAAATCTCTCTTAGAAAAAAAGAAAAGGACAGTTCTTTCCTTTATTTTATTTGTCATTATTGTTACTTTCAGTTTGACCAGAGCTAAACAGAGAGAGAAAGTGATCAAGCAAGCCTCGAGGTCTGGGACTCGAGCTGTGGTCAGCAACGTGGGAGCCCAGTGCCCTAGCTACCACGCCACTTGCCGGTCCCCATGCTTGTTCTGTTATTGCCAGAATGCCGGTGTGCTCAGCAGAAAGTACCAGTGGGTGGCCCAGCCGCAGGACTTTCTTCATTCCTGCATCCTATCAGGGTTTCGGGCACAGGCCCAATATGCTTTTCTCTTTTTTTAAAAGTAATTATTTCACTTAATTAATTAATTTTAATTTGACTTGAGAAGGACAGAGTGTGTGGATGGGGGGAAGGTGAGAAGGCAAGCCACCAGGCCCGGGACTCAAACCATAGTTGCCCATGTGGGAGTCCAGCTCCCTTAGCCACCATGCCACATGCCAGCACCCCAATGTGTTTTTCAAGCCACAGGAGCTGCTGGGGTTTGAACTGAGGTTGACTTTGGGGAATCTAAATCCTTTAACCACTGAGCTATGGGTTGGCCCAGATTTCAGAGTTTGTTACATATTTCACTTTTGCCATTTACTCTGTTGTGGCCCTCTGAAGCCCAGCGTCCTGAGGCAAGACCCCAGGCTTCATCTCAAGTCTACATGGGTTGTGAGTGGTCTTCCTGGTGCCAGGTCCCTCCTGCCCAGGATGCTGTCGTCACAGAAGCTTCCCGGGAGTGAAGGAGTCAATAGACTCCTGGTCCACTGGTCCACTGTGGCCCGATGAGGGATTGGCAGTGAACAGTTTTTATTTTAACAGGTTTTTGCTTTAGGGCATGTGCGCTTGCTGGAGAAAGAGACAGAGACAGTGAGGGGGGAAAGTGGGAAATCACCACCCAGGGGGGTGGCCACACTACAGTCCCTTCTCCTCCATCCTTCTCCCAGAATTTTGGGCACGCACGCACAGGGGTCCGGTGTGACTTTGAAGCCACCAGGTCTGGGACTCACACTGTGGTTGGCCTTGTGGAAGTTCAGTGATGTAACCACTGCGCCATCTGCTGGCCCCAAGCAGTAAACATATTTTGGCAGAAGTAATTTCCCTGCTTTAGGGCCCCGTGGCCTGCTCCTTGGTCAGTTGGAGCAGTTCTCCTGTCACACCGCTAATTGGCAGGCTTGCTCTCTCTCTCCCACCCTGCCTCAGGTCCTCACAGCCTGGGGCAGTCACTTGCCCTGTGCTCATTGCGTACAGCTTTTGCTCAGTAGGTGTTGGCTGATTTTTTTCCCCAGAGGAAAGTCTTGGCGTGAAACTAAATGATTGCAAAGAAGGCGTGAAACTAAATGATACATTTGCAAAGAATTAGCATAGTGTTGAGAGTAAGGGTCCGACCTGAGGCTGCGCCCAGGGCAAGGCGGGGAGCCTGGTGAGGTTAGAGCAGAGGCTGTGGCAGGTGCTGTGCCGGGAGGCTTCGCTTCTGCTGCGGTGGCTGTGCAGGAGCGCCAGCTGGTCCACGTGCTTGCTCGACAGCGTTCCCAGTTCCTCGCCACGGGCTCATGTTCCAGCTTCAAGGGCACCACTACCCAGTCATAGCAAGTCCCGGTCACCACTGCCCACTCAGAGCAGGTTCCAGTTTCCTAGAACTTTCTTAAGCCCCCAAAGTTACTCAAAGTTGACTGTACTCCAACTCCCTGCGTGCATGTGATAATTGCATTGAGTTAAGGATCAATTAAGATACTTTCAATAAAATGTTCACTTCTTCCATGAGAGGCAGGAGAGGCACTTCCAGCCTCGCCTTCGCCCCAGTGGACCCCAGCTTCAGCCATCCTGCACCGTGGGAACGCGTGTGCGGCGTGCAGCAGTGTCCACATCACAGTGCCAGGGCCTTCCCGTGGCATCTGCGCCATCACCTGGCCCTTGATGATAATTTCTTAACTGTGTCTTCAAATGGTCTGGCATTCTGCTAGGCATACCTTCACATTAAACGCCACCTCAGAACACCCATTCACTTAGGAGGTAGTGTGGGCCAGTTTACCGACTGATCACCTGCATGCCACCAGGTAATGGCCCGTTCCTGTGCCGGCTAGCGAGTGAGCGCATCCTCGGGGTGCCGAGTGGCTCCTCTCCTCTCCGGGCAGGCGTCGGTGTGTGTCCGCCCCATGTGGCGGTGGTGGGTAACTGGTTTCTGTGCTGGGTGCTGGGTACCGGGTGCCGAGCAAGGCTGCCTGAGGGGCGCCTGCTTCCGTCGGGGAGACGGTTGCGTCTGCTGGTCGGGTCGTGCTGCGATGCTGGGCCCTGGGGGCCCCTCGCCGTCCTGGAGAGGATGAGGCGGAGCTGCCTGCAGTGGCTCTGCCGCTTGGGCCGCCTGTGCCTGCCCTGGCTGCTGTCTCGCGTTGTCTGTTTGCTGTGTGGCATTTGTGACATCCCGAAGGAGTGGCGATGGGGTGAGTGAGGTCAGCGTCTTGGCCCTCTCACTAACCTCACTGTGTAAGAGGGTGCCTCTAGTCTGTCCGCACAGACAGGTGGTGGCAAGGCACCCGGAAGGCTTCTGGAGGCAGCATGGAGTCCTTGAGCTTGCTGTCCGTACAGGTGTGCTGCGGGGAACCCAGGCTCCGCCCACCCATCACCAGGGCAGCCTTCCGAGCCGGCCACTGAACCCTGTGATGGGCTATGCTCCGGAGAACGTGGTTGCCATGGTTTAAGCGGCAGCGCTGAGGTGGACTGGGGTGGGCACTTGCCGTTTGCAGGGAGTTTACAAGTTGTGCTGCTCCTCTCCCTCACTGTTTGTGAAGTGTGTTTGTTTTTGTTTTTGTTTCTTTTGGAGAGGTTTTTGCTGTAGGGTGCATGCACTCTAAGAGGTAGAGACAGAGAGACAGAAAGTGAGAAATCACCCCTCAGGGGGATGGCCACGCTGCAATCCCTTCTCCTCCATTCTCCTCTTGGGATCTTGGGCACGCATGCACACATGCCTGCTGTGAGTTTGAGCCACTGGTCCGGGACTCGAACTGTGCTTGACTGCATGGGAGTCCAACAACATAGCCATCACAATAACTGCTGGTCCCTGTGAGATATTAAGACTAGTAAATGCTTATGTACTGCTTCCTGTGAGTTGGTTTTGAGCGGATGTGTGTAAAGGTAGGAAGTACCACTTTAATTTGCCGTAGGTCCCTGTGCTCCCTAGGGGCCAGGGGAATGAGAAATCCCCCCAGCTGTGTCCTGTCCCCTTCTTGAGCCTCTTGGGATTTGGGGCATGGATATGTACTCGGTGTTATTTCCAAGCCACCAGACTGGGTCCAGGACTTGCACTGTGCACTTGGCCACGTGGGATCCAGCGTCGTAACCTCCCTGCCCCTTGCCAGCCCAGGAAATGCCCTCTTTACAATGATGGCGTGTGGTGGGGGGGAGAGAAGCCCAGGTGTCGTTACCTCGCAATTTATCTTCCCCAGCCCTGCAGCTCCTCAACGGCACGAACTGCCCGTGTGTTCGCAGTTGACCTGAGGATCTGAACCCTGGTCAGCCATGTGGCCCCAGCAGTGCCGTCAAGCACCCTGTGGGCTGTGCTGCGTGGGACGGGTCCAGAAAGATCTTCTGATAGTTTACCTGGGACTTGAGGTTGAACGTATTTTTAAAGTATATTGATCAAAACAAGTGCAAATACCACATTTGTGGAATTTGTTGGTAAAAAGCATTTTCTTCATTTAAGTACACAGTTAAACAAATGAGAGTATGTTTTAGTGGAAAAGAGCTTAGGCCTTGTAGATAGTAGACACATATTTTTTAAAGAATTATTTATTTAATTTTATTTATTCATTCACTCAATTTGACGAGAGAGAGAGAGAAAGCAAGCCACCAGGTCCAGGACTTGAACCATGGTCAACCATGTAGGAGTGTTCAGCACCTTAGCCACCACGCCACCTGCTGATCCCAATAGTAGACATATTTTAAATTGTTACTTCCTCTATAGTATTAGGTGACTTCAGAGTGAGTTATTTAACCTTGTCCTTAGTTTTCTCATTATAAAATGGGGACAGTTCTTAAACCCAGAAAGTTCTTAAAGGATTTTAAGTATTACGTATGAAATTCCTGGCACGAGTCCTGCCTCTGGGTAAATAACGGTAGCTGTCTTTCCTCCTTGTCAAGCACCCTGTGGGCTGTGCTGCGTGGGACGGGTCCAGAAAGATCTTCTGATAGTTTACCTGGGACTTGAGGTTGAACGTATTTTTAAAGTATATTGATCAAAACAAGTGCAAATACCACATTTGTGGAATTTGTTGGTAAAAAGCATTTTCTTCATTTAAGTACACAGTTAAACAAATGAGAGTATGTTTTAGTGGAAAAGAGCTTAGGCCTTGTAGATAGTAGACACATATTTTTTAAAGAATTATTTATTTAATTTTATTTATTCATTCACTCAATTTGACGAGAGAGAGAGAGAAAGCAAGCCACCAGGTCCAGGACTTGAACCATGGTCAACCATGTAGGAGTGTTCAGCACCTTAGCCACCACGCCACCTGCTGATCCCAATAGTAGACATATTTTAAATTGTTACTTCCTCTATAGTATTAGGTGACTTCAGAGTGAGTTATTTAACCTTGTCCTTAGTTTTCTCATTATAAAATGGGGACAGTTCTTAAACCCAGAAAGTTCTTAAAGGATTTTAAGTATTACGTATGAAATTCCTGGCACGAGTCCTGCCTCTGGGTAAATAACGGTAGCTGTCTTTCCTCCTTTGAAAGTGTGAGAGCACAGGCCTTGGTGTTCGGGCCTACTGAGGATCAGAGCGGCTCTGTGTGCTGTCTCTGCACCGCCGAGGCCGGCAGGCTCGTGAGAAAGCCCCCAGGTGTCAGGACTAGCTGAGCAGCCTCATGACTTTTAAAAGTATTTTACAATGAGGGCCAGTCCCGTGGCAGGGTGGTTAACGTGCATCAGGGGCCGGGTGCCACGTGGCTGCCCCTGGTTCAGATCCCCAGTGGCTTGGAAACCAGCCTGATGTGTGAGCCTGTGTGCGCCCTGACTGGAAGGAGAGACCAGGGAACGGCAGTGGTGTGGCCACGCCCATCGGGGTGTGCTCGCCTGGGAAACCCTAGTGAGCACACGTGCCCCCTGGCAACTTAAAACAATTTTTACATTTAACCTTTGCAGATTACATCATCAACCACGCCCTCCCCTTTAGCCAGACATAGCTTTTAAAAGACCATTGGTGTGGTGGTGAAGATCCCCTACTGCAGCTGGATCCCATATGGCTAATTGTATAGTTCAAGTCCCAGACCTGGCAGTTTGAAAAGGGTGCGTGCAGGACCAGCAGATGGTGCAATGTTTGCGCTGCTGTACTCCCACAGTCCACCAGGCCTGACGGCTTAAAGCTCAGCCAGGTGCGTGTGCACGCATCCTAAGAGGAGCATGGAGGAGAAGGATTGCAGGGCCCATCACCCCTGGGGGTGACTTCTCGCTTTCTCTCTGCCTCTCTGTCTCTGGTGAGCACAGGCACCCTATAGCAAAATCCTTTCTAAAAAAGAAAAAAAGGGGGGCAAGTGCTTGCGTGTCCTGAACCCCGAGAGCAGAGCAGATGGGGAGAGTTGTGGCGTGGCCATTCCCCCGGAGGGCGCGTTCTCACCTGTCTCTGCGTGTCTCTGGAGAACGTACGCATCCCACAGCAGACATTTAAATAAGTCAGTGCCCGTGGGTGCTGGGGTGCAGGCTCCCCTAGAGCTCCAGGTCGCTCGCCCGGGCGTGTGCAGCAGCGACCCCAGTGACACCTGCTCCCGTTACCCTGGCCGTGGTGGTCTTTCCGGACGTCGCGTCCTCAGCTCCCGGCCTTCCTATGCAGGCGGCAGTTGCCCTGCCATGACCTCGAGAGGGCAGGGAGGGGAGCGTCGTTCACCCCAGCCCCACTGCTAAGGCAGCCACACCGAGGGCTGGGGCGGGCTCTAGGGACAGCTCTTGCTCACTCGTCCTCCCTGTGCTGTTCAGAGCCTGCGCCGAGTGCCCCTCCCCTGAGAGTCCCGACGGTGCCAGTTTATTTTACTGCTTTCTTAACGTCTGTCCTCGCCTTCCCCTTTTCAAACAGAGCCTGATCTGAAAAAGCGGATCCGCGTGCACTTGCTCAATGCCCACGGCCTGGACGAAGCCGGCATTGACGGTGGTGGTATTTTCAGAGAGTTCTTAAATGAACTGCTGAAATCAGGATTTAACCCCAACCAGGGGCTCTTCAAGACTACTAACGAAGGGCTTCTGTACCCCAACCCGGCTGCTCAGATGCTTGTGGGAGACTCTTTTGCCAGACATTACTACTTCCTAGGCAGAGTGCTCGGCAAGGTAAAGTACGCTTTCATACACCAGATCTCAGACCGCGGCTGCTGGCGTCTATGTCTCTGTGTGGTGCCGTCTTCAGAACTGGAGAGTGGGCGCAGTGCCCGTGCTTGTCTTCCCAGCCTGTGGGAGTGTGGCAGGAGGGTCGTGGGTTTTAGGCTAGCCAAGGCAGTGTAGCAAGATCTTGTGTTCACAAGAAAACGGCATTGCTAAAGTAATCTTGGTGAACCCCGGTAGTGCCTTTGCTTCATCGTTACGTGTGCATGCGTCCAGGCAGTTTGGGCGTGCAAAGGTTACGCGGGAAGCCTGTAAACGCTCTCCGGTGGTCACTGCCAGCGAGGGCGAGGGCTGCCGCTGTCAACACGGCGCCTCCCGCAGTGGCCCTCCTCATAGTGTGAACAGTGAGTGCTCAGAGGGTCTCTGAGGCGTTCAGGTGCGGCGAGACAGAAGAGCCCCAGTCGCTCAGGTGGGCAAGGCGGTCCAGGGGCTACACAGTGTGGAGGGCTCACACACGAGCCGGGCACTCTGCTGTGCTCTTGCAGCCACAAATGGGCGTCTGCCGAACGCCCGCACAGCTTGGACCTTTGCCGAGTGAGTGAGGGGAAGCGCTTATGGCCTAGAGAGACTTCTTAGTGCACGGCAGGCTCTTCCCAGTTCTCCCCCTTTTGAAGTCAGAAGCACGTCAGGATGGGTGCCCAATGGCCAGGACCCAGCTGGTGGGGACCCCAGGAGGGGAGGAGACAGTCCTGGGTCAGACTTCGTGCACAGACGTGGTGGTGGTGTTTTCCCTTTTTGTTGATTCCTAAAATCATTCAATGGGTAACTTTTTCCCTCTCACTATTTCTCTCTGGCAAGCGCACATATCCGATGACAAAACAAACAAAAAAACAGAAAGTGAACAGAGTTACATATTGGGCCATCAGTGTAGTGGTTAAGGCACCCGATCCTGCATGGCCAGCCGCATGGTTTAAGTCCCAGGCCTGGTGACTTGAGAAGTGCATGTGCCCATGCACACCCGAAATCCCAAAGGAGGAGACACAGAGGCAGGACCGCGACGTGACCCCCTCCCAACTTCGTCTTTGGCAAGTGCGTGTGCCCTCCAGCAAACTTTTTTATCTTTAAGTCGTGTACTAATTTTTCTTCCTAAATGTATACATGATTATTACATCACGATTCATGTAGAAACTAATGCTTATTGTCCGTCCAGTGACGGTAAACTCCCTTTTCTCTCAGTTCATTGACATCCTGCTCATGAGTAACGTTGTTCTGAGGTGATGCCTCGTGTGGTTTCCTGGCTCAGGGTCCCCCCTCTGTCTGCAGCCGTGTGGTGCCCTGGCTCAGGGTCCCCCCTCTACCTGCAGCCGTGTGTGCTAAGTGTCCTCCAGGAGGCAGTTTCTGATCTGGACCTTCTCCCAGAGGGACTTCTCGTCCACACTGCATCTCAGTAAGCCTGAGCAGAATAATGACATTCAGACAGGTCAGTGACGGCTGTCGTCGTGTGAGAATAGTGGTTAGTTTACTTCCACATAATTAAGACTTTTCCGTACATAATTTCTGCATGGCAATTTTAAGGAATACTGCTTTCTAAAACGTATTGATTGCCACTTGATTACAAGTGGTTACACTTTGTACAAACATGCTAAAAAAGGGTTGGAATCTAAGTACATGTAATAGCATGGCACTGATGGGGTGGTGCCTGTACATGAAATCTGTAAGAAAGTTGTGCATTGATCGATTATGATGTTTACTGGGCTGTAATGTATTTAAATTCCCTTTAATGCATGTGTTAGTGATTGTTTACTGTGGTGAAGTGTGAGGAGGTCTTTAAGAGTGAGCCTACATAGAGAGAGCTGCCTCGTGTCACTGGTCACCTCTTGGTTAGAGACTCCATTAGCAGATGGTTCCCGCTGCTGCTGTGGGTCCTGACTGCATCTTACTGCCGTAAATCAGGCCGTAGACGGGGGATAAATAAACTGCTCACGGATGTGGGAATGTCATCCTGAGCTTTCCCCCCAGACAGAAGCACCTGGGTCCATTTAAGCCAGCTAGGTTCAGAGTATTTATTCAAGCATATCCTTTATTGCATTGGAATTCTATTTGAAAATGACTCTTCCCTTCAGAATATTGATTTAATTGGAGCAGAATGCCTGTAAATCAGATTATTTGATAATATCTTGGTCACGTATTTGAGTTTTTTTAAGAGAGATTAATGTTATAGGGTGCATGCTCTTGCCAGAGGGAACCAGACAGCAGGAAATCAGCCCCCAGAGGGGATGGCCATGCTACAGCCCTCTCTCCATCCCCTCAGGATTTGGGGCACACACCCACACGCACCTGGCATGAGTTTTAAGCTTCCAGGTCTGGGACTCGAACCACGGTTGACTATGTGCAAGTCCATAGATGTACCCATTATGCCATCTGTATTTGAAATTTTTAATTAGCATATTGTGTAACTTCATCATGGTTTATAACTCTGTATTTAGTAGAATTCAGTGTGCACTTACTATGTCATACACTGTAATATTGGCAATTGACAGTTTATCTGGAACTTGTCGAAAGTTGGGAGAATTATTTTGTATCATGACAGTCCTTTCATTAGATATTCTATAAATTCACTGAGGATTTCAAACTGTAGGTTGAGATAAATACTGGTAATTTATCTCAGTCCTTTAAGTGGCAGAGCCTCTCTCTCTTTAACATGTATGTATTGTATGTACTTGGTCGGCCCCGTGGGCATCCCGCACCTTAACCGCCACACCACTGCTGGCCACCAAAGCTTCTCTTTCGCAGCACCTTCTTTGCGACCCTACACTCCTCACGTGGCAGTGTGGCCGGGCTTCCTGCCTGCCTGTCCTCAGGGAGGGCTGTGCTTCTCAGCATGGTGTCCCTTTTCCTGTAGGGTGACAGCTTACCCAGAGCACTCAGCACAAGCCTCCCCTCCAGGGGGACCGTCTTCTGCTGGGTTGTCAGCAAGTATCACACATACTCGGCCGCCCAGTGGGCTGCTGCTCCTGGCCTGCTCTCGCCGACCGTGCCCGTGTGGGATGCCGCAGCGTCAGCGCCTGGTCCCACCCGCCCGTGCCCGTCCCGTGGGCAGCTATTACTGCTTTGCTCTCGCCAGCCATGCCCGTGTGGGACGCTGCGGCGTCAGCGCCTGCAGTGATCCCAGCAGACCGCCTTCTGTGGGTTTCTCCCTTCTGAGGGCCTCACTGACTTCTTTAGCCTGTTTGTGATCACCATCTAGAACAGCAGACCTGCAGATCGGGAGACTAACCTTCCTGCAAATTAAGGACGTCGTCTGTGGAAGTTCATTTCATTTTTCCAGAATTAGCCATGAAATAGTGGCCAGGACCACCCAGCATGAGTGCTGGGCATATTTCTGAAGTCAGTGGACTCGGGCACCTGGATGTTGTTCTTGCTGTAACTTTAGCCACAGTAGGGTGCTCAGAAAATTCCTTTCTGCCCCTGGATAAAATAGACCTTCTCCCTGAGTTATTTCTTCCATTTATTTTTTTGACCACCCCCAGACAATAGTGAAATAATCTGAAAACGATGAGTAGACTGGATCAGTATTATATTGAAGCTACTTTCCTTTTTCTGTGTCATGTTAAATTATCACCATGAAAATCAGAAACACATGCTTTTACAGGTCCCACTTAAAGCGTACTGTTTATCTTTCCTTGGTCTTTATTTGTCCAGGAAGGACAATAAATACCTGAAAATAAAATAGAGCCCCCTTAAATTCTTTTAAGCATTTCGTTAGATTGCTAAGTGTAACAATATGGTAAACCCCATGAAGGTGGTGTACAGGTGTTACCGTGTTGTCTCAGAACTCGAATTCACTTTGCGAGGCACCAGCCGCTAACTAGGCTTCTCCTCTGGGTTGAACCATGAGGGGTCTGAGCAGGGGAGCACGTGGCCTGCGCTGCTCTCGGTGGCACTCCACGGCTTTCATGTCACATGTGAGCCTCTGAGCCTGGAGCGGACACTCGGACAGAGGGCACCTGCAGCTCCAGCCTCTTGGGTTGAGCGGTGGTTGAGTTAGTCCTGGGTGGTGGTGGTGTGAGCAGCAGTTCGGGGGGATTTGTTAAAGAACTGGTTTTGAGACCGAGAAGGTTAAGGGGCTGCGTGAACTTTGTTCTGAGAACTGGGCCAGCCAGGTGTCACGGGTGAAGCTGGGTAGATTTGGGCAGGAGCGGGCTTGGGGAACGCTGTTCGGACGTTTGACTTTCCCTTAAGTTTGAACGGCCTGTGAGCCCTTCTCTTGGAGACCCGAGGGAGGCAGTGGAGCACCTAGACCTGGGCTTGGGGGCCAGACCTGGTGAGCCATGAGCATGTGGGTTATGTTTGTGACTGTGCGTGTGGGGTGAGTCCCCCAGGGACTAGGCATGACTGCAGAGACGGGCCTCACGCATCCCAAGGTGCGATCCAGACGCGAAGGGGCCTTTAGCAGTGGGCGTTCAGGGCGGTGGCTGGGAGGAGCAGGAGAAAGGCTGGAAAGGGTCAGTAGTGTCCCAGAAGCCGAGTAAAGACATGGTTTCAAGGGAAGAGAGGGATGCGCACTGCCTGGAGCTCCCAGTACACAGGTCAGGCACCTTGGAGACTTGGCCCTGCTGGGCAGGACAGGACAGCAGAAGGAGGGAGCACCAGGGAGCGTTCCATGGCCTGGACACCCTGGGTGTCACAGCTGAGGTGAAGTCGGGAGGGAGGGCCATGTCCCTGGGGGGTCTCCGGATCAGGCGACAGCGGTACCTGAACCCTGCATCCTGGCAGCCCTCCGCATGGCCTCATACTTGCCAGGGTTTTTGGACCAGAGGTCCATCCTCGGATTGATTGCAAGGTCACCTCGGGACCACTCGCGGTTAGTATCGTGAATTCCAGGACGTGGGCCTGACCAACTTGGCTGCTGGTTTTTCTCCGACCATAGTCAGCATGCGAGTATGACGAGGGTCAGAGGGATGGTTTTTGCCAAGTGCACACCACACCGGGTGAGCTGAGTGCAGGGGACCTGAGGCATGAGGGCGTGGTGGCCACGGCCCCCGGGGGTCTAGGCTGTGCGGCGAGAAGCAAGCCCTGTGTGGAGACCTGTGGGGAAGGGCTTTCGAAGGACAGGGAGCCAGGAAGGGAGTCACGGGTTAGAGCAGCGGTTGGGGACAGTCACTGCTGACAGGTCGAGGATGTGACTGAAACAGGGTGGCTCAGGTGGAGTAGGGAGACTCTGGAGTGGTGATCATCTGTGGGTCAGTGAAGTCACCAGAAATTCCAACAAGCTTGTGTTGGGCTGTGATGGCTGTCAGGAGCTAAAACTCGGTGTCTCACAGTGTGGAGCGGGGCTCCAGCCCAGCGCTTGGTACTCAGAGCAGGGTGGCTGGAGGGAGAGGGAAGAAAGCGTAGTCTGCAGGTGGCAATGAGGGACAGAGGGGCCCTGGCTGACTTCTGTCCCCTGTGGTGGAGAGTGTGACAGAGAAAACAGCCACTAGCAGGGAACGCCTTTGAGGTGTATTGAGGTATACGGAAGGAGTATTAGGCCGACCAGTGTGTACCAGTCTGTGCACTCCACTCCTTGTACAGGCCAGCCCGTGTACTCCAGCCCGTGTACGGGCCAGCCCGTGTACTCCAGCGTGTGTACTCCAGCCCATGTACAGGCCAGCCCATACTGACAGGGACCAAGAAGAAAGACATGCAGAGGCTGCAGAGGCTCAGACAGGACTCCATGTCTTGGGTGTGGGACGCGGGAGGTGAGTATGGAAGGACTGGTCTCAGATCGGCTGAGAGCCCAGGTGGTCACTCCTCCAGGATGGACAGAAGAGCAGTGTGCACTGAGAGCAGGCCCGTGAGATGCCGTTGCGTGCCCCCTGGGTGGCTGTGCTCTGAAAGGCAGATACTAGTGAGGTTGGTGAGCGTGTGGAGAGGCTGGGCCTCTCGTGCCTCACCGTGGGGCTGTCACATGGTGTGGCACTTTGGAAAACAGGCTGGTGGTCCCCAGTCAGGTAGGGTCTGGCCCTCGTGTTGCACAGGCTTGTTCACAGCAGTGGCTTTCCTGCCTGGGGCCGACTGCGGCACGTGTTCGCTGCCACACCCTGCTTCCGGGTGAGCCTGGAGCACCTGGGGCTGAGTGGAAAAGCCAGACCCAGAGGTCACCGAGCCTTCCGCTCCATGCATGTATGATGTCTTGGGAGGGAAGCCCACAGACACAGAATGTGGGCAAGTCGTCGTAGGGCTGGGAGGGACCCCAGGGAGGTCTCTGGTCACTTTTTGGGCTGATGAAAGTCTTCAGAAGGGTGCCGTGATGGGCGCTCGCACGTTTCGGACTTCAGTAAGAACCATGGAGCAGTTCCCTCAAAAGAGGCAAGTGGCCATGACTGTGGACTCGGTGTCGGCACAGCTGTTAGAACAGTGCCATTCGTGGCCAGGGCTGGACTCTGTGTCGGCACAGCTGTTAGAACAGTGCCATTCGTGGCCACGGCTGGACTCGGTGTCGGCACAGCTGTTAGAACAGTGCCATTCGTGGCCATGATTGTGGACTCGGTGTCGGCACATCTGTTAGAACAGTACCATTCGTGGCCATGACTGTGGACTCGGTGTCGACACAGCTGTTAGAACAGTACCATTCGTGGCATGCTAGAGCCCAGGCCGAAGGCATGAGGGGCAAGAGAGTGCGACTGGCCAGTTGGACCCGCTGAGGGATCGGGGATCACGTGAGGCACTGGGCTCCTGCGGGTGCTCCGGCCTACAGGCTCTGCCCCACCTTGGTCGGGAGACCTTGGGTCCCGCGCGTCCCACCCAGTCGCCGTCGGGAAGCGCAGCCGTTAGTACGTCAGTGATGTGCACCGCCTCGCTTTGCATTTCTCTTATTTTTTAAACTATGTGGTTCGTGAGATTTGAAATAATTAAAATTATTATCTGCTTGCTCAATTAGGATGGCTTTAAAGCAAGACATTGTCTCTTATATAGTTTTTAGATTAAGTTATAAATGTTCACTTTAGAACTACCTGAAGATTGATAGAGATGCATTTGAAAAGCATTATTTTTTTATTGATTCTTAATGTAGTAAATTACTGGAGTTATTTGGCAGCAAACAGGAGTGGCCTGTGATGGGGCTCACATTTATTCTCCTGATGGAACCACAATCTGCATTAATTGCGGTGCGACTGCACTCACTTATATTAAAAGGCTTCTACTATAATTAATCCTTTTTATTTCAAATCATTTTGGCACAATTTCTAGCTATAAACACTCATAAAAGACAGACAGCTGAAAAATACGTTACAGGTTTTTCCATATACCTACTGCTATTTTTTCGTGACAAGTAGTTATTGATAGGCTTCTAGGAACAAATGTGCAACTGACTGAGAATTGAGGCCGATGTGAAAAATGCTAAGTGGATTATTTTGCATAAAAAATAGGCAGCTTCTGAAGTTGTATAATTAACCTGTGTTTAGAAAATACCTTGATTTATGCTTACATTTGTATCTCGGTTGCATACATTATGGAAATTTAATTTATAATCCATTTAGCTGATGCAGTCATAGTTTTTAGTGCTATCGTTTATTAGTGCTTGTATATTAAATGCTCTAAAGGTTTAAACCTGCCTTATATAAAAAATTATACCTATGCATTTAACATTTTATGAGTCACAGTGGGATTTCTGTTTAAAATTCAGGTAGCTCTGATGTATTTAACGAATCTCACTGGTTTATTGTTACTAATGCAGAGATGGCAAACAACGACCTTTTATATCGACAGCACATGATTTACACTTCCAGTCTGCCTCAAAGTCCACCGCGCAGACGGGAGCTTCCCCACCAGCCGAATCGATCATGTGACTGCAGAGTTCTGGGCTTGGGCTCCCCGTCCATGTAGAAGTAATGGTGTTTGTAAGTGCTCCAGGTTAACAGTAGTGCCCATTCTTAACTTTAGGCAAACTGTGCCTTCAAAACAACTCTTTCTTTATATTACCAGTCAGTGGCTGAGTGTTCGTTGTCGTTTTGTCACTCATTCTCTCATTAAGAAGCTTTTTGCCATCTTTTCTAAAGTAATTGGCAGTCATTAGTGTTCAGATCGGACACGAAAGCACAGGATGTAGCACCTGCATTGACCTGGCGTGGACAGGCGTGGTCTCTGGGGCAGACATGACACCCTGCTGGAGCCTGGGCGCCTGGCATAGGGCAGCATCGGCCGAAGGCGCCCTTGGGAATGTCTGTCGGCGGTTATCAGGATGGGGAACCTGGTGGCTCTCTAGACGTGTGCTTTTGGAAAGATGTTCATAGCTGTTTCCCAATTGCCTCCAGTCAGATTAGTAGGCTGTTAAATGCACGTGTGGTGTGTGTTTCAGTGCAGTGACTGTGTAGACGCCTTTGTTCCGTGGACTTAGTGCCGTCACTGCTGATGGAGGGCGAGCTGCAGGGGCCCAGAGGCATTCGCCAGCTCTGGAAGCCAAGGGTGCTCACACAGCCCTCAGGGCGCAGGCTCAGCCGTGACTGCCAGGTGCCCACTCATGGGTACAGTTGTGTTTCTGTGTCACGTTCCGTGAGCAGCAGGACTAAGAGGGTTGGTCTGGGTGTACACCGCATGGGTGCCGCTGTCGTGGGCATCTGTAAGGTGGAGTCAGGCTAGCCTTCATCCTCTCCCTTCCACTCCTTCCCCTCCGCCTTGACAGACAGACGGACAGACTTTAATGTGAAGCCAAGAGCTAGGTCCAGGGCTTTCGGAGAGAGAGTGCCCCACATTCTGACTGTGGACTCCGGCCTGTGGAGCCGTGAGGTGTGTGTGATACCCTTATACCTGTGGGTTTCTGATACTTTGTTCCCACCAGCTCAGGGAACTAAGACACCTGCAAAGCCTGTCTGACCTGTCTGGCTCTGAACAGGGAGCATTTGCCAGCCCCTGTCTCAAATGACTGCCCGGCTCCTCAACATGGTTCAGTCCTAGCACCCTGTGGCCCCAGCCCTGGTGGTCTGTTCTAGAGGGCTCGGCACCGGGGGGGGGGCGTCCTCAGACAGCGGCTTCCGACACCCTCCTCCACTTCATGAAGACGGTCTCTGCTGTCTCAGGGTTCTGCTCAATGTCAGATTGCGTATTTATCTTTTATTTGCAGGAAGTGTAAAAACAAATTGCTGTTAAGTCTCACCGCTGCCACTTGTTCTTATTCGAAGGCTCTTTATGAAAACATGCTGGTGGAGCTGCCCTTCGCAGGCTTTTTCCTGTCCAAATTGCTTGGGACAAGTGCAGACGTGGACATCCACCACCTGGCCTCCCTGGACCCAGAGGTGTATAAGAACTTGCTGTTCCTCAAGAGCTATGAAGACGACGTGGAGGAGCTCGGCCTGAACTTCACTGTGGTGAACAACGACCTGGGAGAGGCCCAGGTGAGCCCGCCCTATGCCCCTTTGTCACGGGCACCGCCTCCGTAGCACAGCCATGTTCCCTTCTGTGGCAGGGGCGTTTGTCGTCCATTGTTTGAGCTTCTGCCCTGAACGAGAAGAGCCGCTGTGGCTGAGAGTGAGAAGCGAGTCCATCGGGGCCGGGGCGCTGGGCACTGGGCGCCGAGCTCAGGACAGCTTTCGGCCCTGGTGGGCAGGGAGGGAGGGAAATGCCCCCCGCCCCCAGTTGCTGAGTGCACAATGCTGGCTTCCAAGATGTGTCCCTTTGTTTTTAAGGAAGTCCTGTATTAGACATTCAAACTAACTCTTTTTTTTTTTTAAGAGAGATTTTTGTTATAGGGCACGTGTGCTCACCAGAGAGAAACAGAGGGAATAAGAAAGCAAGCTACCAAGTCCAGGACTTGAACCGCAGTCGGCCATTTGGGACTCCGACGTCTTAATCACCACACCAGCTGTTGGCCCTTTAGTGAGTTTTAGTATTTCAGTCATGTGATCACCACCACAGACAATTTCCAAACATTGTTTTTTCTTTTTTTTTAAATGTTGCCAGAGGGGACCAGCAGGTGGCATGCTGGTTACTGCGCTGGGCACTGGACCCTACGTGGCTGACCAAGGTTTGCGTCCTAAACCTGGTGGCTGGCTTTCTCACTTTCCCTCCCTCTCTCTCTCTCTCTTTTGCTCTGTCCCTCTCTGGTCAAATTAAAATAAACAAGTAAAGTTAAATAAAATAATTATTTGAAAAAATATGTTGCCAGAGGGTACATGCACTTTCCAGTCAGAGAGAGAAAGCAAGCAAGAAAGTGCCCCCTTGGGGACAGTCCCCCACAGTCCTTTCTCCTTTGTCTCTACCCTCTTTCAGGGATTTGAGGTGTGCAAGTGCCTGAGAAGCTGGGTGGTTTTGTTTTGTTTTGAGAGTTAATATTTTGTTTTATTCTGAAAGAGAAACCGAGGCTCGTACATGTATTTCTTCAGGAACCAAAAATTCAGCCCCAGCTGCTACCTTCTGTATATTCGGAGTGTCCTTCCAAGTGGGACCTAAGGAGGTTAGTCTAGCACTATCGCATTCACGCAGCTGAGCGCTCAGACCCCACCTGGGGTTTTCTCGGTCCCTACACTCTAGTAGCCTCCTGCGACAGATTAGGAGGTAGGACAGGTAGTGTTCCTGATAGCAACGACCCATGCAGTGGGCGCGATGTCCATGAGAGCCTGGCAGTGTGTGTAGCTCACTCCCGTCTGTCTTCTGTGGGGCAAATACTCCAGGGTTTTAATGCATCGGTGTGACAGAATCTCTCACTGTGAGCTGTTAGTCTGTTGTTTGGTGAGGCTTGTAGGTTGGTGGTAATGTTCATTTATGACAAAAAAGAGGTGGACGAGGAGCTCACTGAGAGTCACGCTCTCCAGATGCTACTTGGACCCTATCCACTTTGTCGCCTGGCCTCCAGTGTGGAGCCTGATGGTAAGCTTCCTTCATTCCTGGCTTAAACACCAGTGGATTACTTGTCTGAGTTTTCACTGCTCAAGCTCGAGCTAGATAGAAGATGAGAACCGGAGCTAAACATGTATGTGCAGTGTGAACCGAGAACTGATAGGGCACCTGAAACTCGGGTCAGAGGCCGGTCTTCTAGAAGGGAGCGCCGTGAGTGCCCACACCCGTCCTCCTCAGGCCGCGCTTTCTGTGTCGTGACTCAGCAGTGAGGCAGTAGGGCTCACAATCGCTGTCACTGTCCTTGCGAGGCTGGGCTCGCCTAATCCTGACAACATCTGCCTGCTCAGAATCTGAAACAAGGGTTTCTGGGCCTCTCTTGCTCATTTTCTGAAGTGATGGTGTGGTCTGGTGTCTCAGGTAGTAATCGGATTCTACTAGCTCACCTGTCTGTTGACACACCTTTGTCCCGATCAGCTGTGACTTGAGGGTCTGCGAGTCTGGTCAGACGTCTGTCTCGGTTCTACACTCCAAGCATGTGCTCTTCCTAGAGAGCGCTCTCTTGGAGCAGCCCCCCTTGCTCTGGATGGTGCCAAAGGACGCCTGCGCCGCACCTGAGGTTCAGGTAGCTGCCGTCTCCATGTCTCCTGTGGTTGAATTCCAGAAGCTCTCCGCTCATCTGTGACAGACTGCTCAAGAGTCAGATGATGTATGGTATCTGAAAAGGCCTCTGGGTGAAGTTGGCAGAGCCCTGTTTCTGGTTCTTGTCCTGTGCTCGGGGCTCCGCATTCTGCTTCCTGCCAGTGGCACTTCCGTGACTTCTTTGGGCATGCCGTTGTTCTGAGGTGGATACAGAGGGCACGCTTTCTATTAGCCTCTGGGTGGTTCGCACATTTTCCTTGCTTAAAAATGTAGCCTAGGTACGCACTCACTGCCTGACTTTCGTCTCCCATTATTAGAGCTTGAACGTAACCGTTTTTTATTTGGAGAGATTTTCACTGTAGGGCGCGTGCGCTCACCAGACAGACAGAGAGACAGAGAGACAGAAAGCGAGAAATCACCCCCCAGGGGGGATGGCCACGCCGCAATCCCTTCTCCTCCATTCTCCTCTCGATGTCTTGGGCACGCACGCACACGCGCCCGGCGTGAGTTTTAAGCCACTGGGTCCGGGACGCGAACCGCAGTCGACTACGTGGGAGTCCAGCGACATGGCCATTACGCTAACTGCTGGTTCCCAACGTAATCTTTCACTAGAGCTGATGCCACTGAAGTTAAGATACTCTGGTTTTGGGGCCGGCACGTGGTGTGGTGGTTAAGGGCACTGGACTCCCACATGGCCAACACTGGACTCCCATATAGCCGACCATGGTTCAAGTCCTGTACCTGGCGGCTTTCTCTCCATCTCTCTCAATCTGTCCCTCTCTGGTCAAATATAAATAAATAAAGTCAGTTAAAATAATTCTTAAAAAAAAAACACACAAAGATTACTCTGGTTGTTGCTGTGGAGGATTGGTGTCCTTTTGGCTCAAATCCAGCAACGTCATTGCCTTGTCTGGTCGGGATCAGGCATCTTTTGCACAAGAGTCTCCTCTTCTGACAGTGAGTCTTCTGGTTTCACTTTTCTCGACGGTTCTTTGTCTTGGCCCCCAACAGCGCCTGACAATGCCTCTTCTCTCATCGGTTTGGGTTCACACGCTGCTTCTTCAGAGAGGTGGTGAAAACCCTCCTCTCGAGGCAGCCTGTCTGTCGGCCGCCTTAGGTAGACGGAAAACCTGCCTTCTCCATCTTTGTTGTCGGAATTGCTGCTGTCCGTGTCAGCAAGCACCGGGAGACTGTCCATGAAAGAACTGCCTTTTTGGTCTCCTTCCCACTTCCCTGAGAAGTCCTCCAAGCTGCTGAGTCTGGGACTCAAGCTGAGGTTTTGGCCACGTGGGATCCAGCCAGCTTAACCACCAGGCTGGCCAACTGCCCCTAGAAGAAACTCTGTCTGTGAGAAGTCACCCTGCCGTAGGAAAGCAGCATCAGGTGGGCGCACTTCGCTGCGGGGAGGTCCTGGGAGTTGCCTGGGGGCCCGAGGTGGTGCTGAGCTCTCTGGCAGCCGATCAGAGGCAGCCGACAGGTAGCAAGTGTGCAGGAGGGCAGGCAGAGCAGGACCGAGCCTGACACTGCTCAGAAGTCGGCCCTAGGAAGCCTGGCACGCCCTCCATAGGACAGTGCGGGCGCCTTCCCGTAGCCGACAGCCGTCTCGGCGTCAGCAGCAGTTTTCCTGGAATGAGGCATTGGGAGCTACCAGGAAGCAAGTGATGAGGCCGAGGGAGCTTCCTGGCAGAGGGCGTGGGGTTCTGGCTCGGGGTCGGGGCAGGTCTGGAAGCATCTTGGGTGTGGTTTGAGTCAAGTGGTTCCAGAGCCCACTGAGATGCCACGCCACGCCACACCACACCACGCCATGTCACGCCATACCACACCACAACACACCACAAGGGTGTGCAATAAAAAAGACTTTTTTTTTAATAGAAGTTTTTGCCATAGGACACGTGCACTCGTCAGAGACAGAGATAGAGAAAGTGAGAAATCACCCTTGGGGAGATGGCCACTCATCAGTCCCTTCCCCTCCATTCTTGGGATTTGGGGCACTCACACACACACGTGCCCAGCGTGGGTTTCGTGCTGCTGGGTCCAAGACTCAAACAGCAGTCGGCCATGTGGGATTCCAGCGCCTTAACCACTACACCATCTTCCGGCCCCCAGAAAGGTTTTGAATGAGAGAACTACTGTGGTCTCTGTTTCTGACATACACTGTAGGGTCCGATGCACGTAAGTGACACCCTGCAGTGCTGCTCTTTGTGGGCTGACTCGTCTCAGCTACGAGCCAGCTGGCCTCCTGAGGCCCAGCCGTGTTGGAGCATGGGTCAGTCTGTGTGTCATGCTGACTGGTGCTCCTCATAGGGTAGACATGTCTGCTGCTTTGGACGGTTCCCACCTTCTGCTGACCACGGCAAATACTGCCACAGACACTCGTGTGCAGATGTCTTGTTAAGGCCCTGCCTTCTGTTTCTCCCAAGTGTACCGGAAGTAGACTTGCTGTGTGCAGCTCTGTGGTTTGTAGGACCATCAGTCCGAGTTCCGGCAGCTGCCGTTTTCGTGCACGCTCAGCACTAGTACCCAGAGGTGTAGCGCGCTCTCCACACCTTACCAGGCTGCTCACTGTTTTCTCCGGTTCCCTTGTACTGTTTTGTTTTGGTTTGTTTTGGGGTTTTTTTGCGAGGAAAGACAGACAGAAGGTGAGAAATCACCCCCCAGAGGGGATGGGAGTCCAATGACAGAAACATTCCGCCATCTGCTGGTTTCCCCTTCTCTACTTTTAAATCAGAGCCGTCCTGTTGGATGTGAAGTGGGACTTAGTTGTCATGTAACTAACATGACCTGCAGTGCTGTGCTACGACCCTGAGAGTTCGATGGGAAGCTGGGGGGGGGGTCTTTGTCTGCTTTCTGTCCTGACTTCAGGACTGCTGTACAGGTTGTCTTTAAAATAAGGGGCACATGGCCAGCCGTGGCATGTGGTTGGGGCAGCCAGATCCCACATGGTCGACTGGTTGGAGTCCCATGCCTGGTGCCTTTAAGGACACACCGGGCACACACTTACTTACATGCCCCAAATCCCAAGAACGGGAGAAGGAATTGCAGCGTGGCTATCCCCCAGGGGTGCTTTCTCACTTTCTCTCTCCCTGGCAAGTACACATGCCCCTCGCAGATGTAAAAAATAAAAGCATGCATACATGCATACGGGCACACAAAGATCTATATATCCTGGTATCTAAACCATCTGGATACTGTTTTGAATGATTGATTGTTTTGGAACTTGAATTTTCCGGCTGTTGCTTAGCTTCACAGCCATCTGTTCCCAAGGTTGGTGTAGATGGGGCCCAGCAGACAGCACTGCTGCGGGTCTGTTACCCTCCATGCCCTCCTGAGGACGGACACAACACAATCACAGTGGCCTGCTGATGGCGCTCTAGTGCAGATGCAGGTGGCCAAATTGCACACGGTTGATTGTGCAGTTCGAGTCCTGAGCCCGAAGGCTTGAAACACACTCTGGGCTCATGTGTGACAATGCCCAGAACCTGAGACCAGCAGGTGGCGTGGTGGTTAAGGTGCTGGAGACTCCCACATGGCCAATCACAGTTCGAGTCCTGGATCTAGTAGCTTGCTTTCCGACTTTCGCTCCTCCCCCTTTTTCTCTCTCTGTCTCTCTCTGGTCAAATTAAAATAAATGAATGAATAAATAAAATTGAATAGATTACAAAATAAAAAGAAGAATGCCCAGAACCTCAAAAAGGAGCGAGGGATGGAGAGAGGGCCTTCAGCATGACCCGTTGCTCAGGGAGTGTGCCTTCTCACTTCCCCTCTGCTTCTACCCTGGTAAGTACTCAAGCCCTCTGACAAGCTTAAAAATAATGGTGGTAAATTGGGACGAGAAATTACTGCAGCATATTTTATTTGGTCACAGCTTACTTAGGTGTGTTTATTTCAGCCTTCTCTGGCGTGTTGTAGAGTTAAAATCTCAGCAGTGCAGAACTCAAATATTTTTTGGAAGGTAAAAGTTAGTGCCGTGTCACATGCACATGCGTCACTGCCTGCGGCTGTCCCCTGCACCACCTAGTGGTGGTGTCACGTGCAGTAGCTGCTAGCAGCAGTCCTGTGGTGGCCGGGCCTGACCTTTGCTAGTGGGAGCCTTTCTCTTTCTGCTTCTGAAGCAGACTGGTCGTGAGAGGTCTCATATGCGGGAGTCCCTTCCTGGCACCACTGCCCCGTGGGACCCCTGAGCAGGCGTGTGGATATGGTGTCCCCACATTCTGAAACTCACCGGCAAGGCCCCTGATGTGAGGGAGCTTAGGGTTTCTGGAGCTCTCTGTGCGGATTTAATTTTACAAGGCATCGTGATCTACAGATCTGCCATATGCAGATACTTCGTCACATGGACAGCATCTGGTAATTAACCTCCACTTTTAAAATAGCAGTGTTACCGTCCAGTTCGTTCTCAGCGGAACCTAAACGGCTGCTGCTTAGTCTGCGTAAGGACCAGCAGGGAAGTAGACTGCTGCTTTACACACACCTTCCCTGACCAAGGGTAAGCGTCTGCGAGAGGCTACATGACCGTCTGTCGTAGGAGAGATGGGGCCTGTGTCCTGAGACCTCTTCCCGTGTGGCTGGGCGTGGGCGGCGAGGCTCCTCAGTCCCTGGAGCTTCCTGGGCTTGGGGTGCTATGGCTAGGCCTCCACACGTGATGGGAGGACGGCACTCGCTGGAGAAGCTGCCCCGCCCGGTTCTGCATCTAAAGGAGACTTCAGGCGTGTCCTCAAACCTGAGTACATATGTGACATGATTTTTAAATACACTTAGTTGTCTAGGGTTAGACTGAGAGAGGGCTTTAAATTAAAAGTAGGAGGACCGTTTTAAAAATACTGGTTGGGCAGGGGAACCAGGGGGCTTTGGAAGTTCCTTAGCTGATAACTTCACTGGTCCTTTGTCCTCCAAATCTTACGCACATCGTCATTTATTACCTGCCTTTAATCCATTTAAAGGCAAAGGGTGGTGTTTTATATATTGAAATATAATAGCTGGCCTCTTGAGGCCTGGTTAACAGATGGACTGTCAACTGAGGCTGAGCAAAGGAATTAAGGTAATGAACGCAATCTTTAATCAGAACGAAGACAATGGATTTGAGAGGCCATTCTTACTTAGACGTGATGGTTCCAAAACTAGGAAAGTGAATTAGTAGGAATAATCGAACCATCATTTAAAATGTGAAATATTAAAAGAAGCAAATTTGACACCCAAGCTTAAAGAATGAGAAGCAACAAACTACCGTGGCCCGTGCCCATCAGGTGACCACGGGCTGAAGCTCTAAGCGGGCCCTGAGGCAGCTTTGCTGGGAGGAGGCGAGGGGTAGCGCCTGCTACCCAGGGACCTGAGAGCCGCGAGAGGACTATCGGCCCGGAACAGAAAGGCCTGGGCGGGGGCTGCCCCTGTTTCCCAGTGGCCTTTGCCCAGAGCGTTCACACTGCTTCCCGGCGGGTAGGCCTGTGCATACGAAGCACTGCCGCTGACTTCCCACATGCAGGCCACATGGACATCGCGACGCCTCTCGCTCGCTTACTTTGAGCTTGATTTATATTATCTTCATCGTGTCATGGACCACCCTTGTCCAACCTCAGGAATACACCTCAGTTTTTAAGTACTAGTACAGAAGGAATTAAAAAGTGAATTATGGGGGTCGGCAGGTAGTGGTGGTTAGGGGCGCTGGACTCCCACATGGCCCATGGTTAGAGTCCCAGCCCGGCCTGGCGGCTTGCGCTCTCTCTCTCTCTCTCTCTCTCTCTCTCTCTCTCTCCCCCTCTCCCCCTCTCCCCCTACCCTTTTCCCTCAAATTTTAAAAATAAGTAAATTGGGGCTGGCAGGTAGTGTTGTGGTTGAGGTTCTGGACTCCCACGTGGCCGACCACGGTTCAAGTCCTGGACCTGGAGGCTTGCTTTCTCAGTCTCCCTTTCTCTCTGTCTGTCTCTGGTCAAAATAGAAGAATAATGATAATAAGTATAATTAAAAATAAATAAATCTTTTAAAAATTTTTGAAAAAAAGTAAATAAATAAGTTAAATAAAATAATTCTTTAAAAGAAAAATGTGAATTATGGGGCCAGGTGGTTAAGGTGCTAGATTCCAGATGGCCAACTGCTTGGTTTAAGTTCCAGACCCAGCAGCTTGGAAAACACGCCAAGCACATGTCCATGTATATACCGAAAATCCTGAGAGAAGTACGGAGAGGAAGGGATACACGTCATCTCTCACTTTCTCACTTCCCTTCACTTTCTGTCTCTGGCTAGTGTACATGCCCTATAGCAAAAATTTAAATAAAAAACTAAAGAATTATACCTGCTTATTTATGACGTCTTTGTTGTTTTCCGATCAACTTTGTGCACACAAGTTCACGTAATCACAATTACGATATGGACAAAGCAGATATTGCAGTTTCATTCATGGTGACGGGTGCAGAGTGACCACCTGTGAACGTAAGGGTGAGGGCATCAGGGTCCAGGCTCTGCCGTTGCCAGCAGCACTGTGGCCGTGCAGACAGGATGGTTTTCCAACCCTACACTAGACCTACACATTCTGTGTGCAGAGCCATGTGCTAGTGAAAAAACTGTTCTGTTTTCTTTAGGTTTTTTTGCTTGTTTCATTTTTTAATTTCTTCCATGAGTGAGGGAGACAGGACCCCCAGTAGGTTCTTCACACCATGATCCCCCCGAACTGCAGCCTCAGCAGCCCCAGGTCCCGGATGCACCATGGTACGTGCAGGGCGGTTGACCTCTGTGGACCCAAACCAGGGGTCCGCCCGTGCGATCACACTCATAGAGCGTCTCGGTTTATCTCTGCACAGCGTCCAGACCCCAAAACTGTTCTTGCTATCTCTGCTCGTACATGTGACATTGGCCAATCAGCTACTCTGGTTGTACTACTGTCCTTTAAATCATAACTAACATGTTTTCTAGGCGCAATATTACAGGAATATAAAGGAAAATGTATGCTACCTATAAATTCCAATATGAGTGATCATTTTTCTGCAGCTGGAATTCTGTATGTTGTATTTTCTACTGTGTGAATCCCTTTGTTCTCTTCTGACTTATGCTAATTGTTTGGTTATATATTTGTGATTTCATTTCTTTTTTAGAATTATTTATTTAATTTTATTAATTCATTCATTTATTTTAATTTGACTGGAGAAGACAGACACAGAATGAGGAAGAAATTGAGAAAGCAAGCTATCAGGCTCGGGACTACAATCGTGGTCGGCCATGTGGGAGTGTCCAGTGTCTTAACCACCTCGTCACCTGCTAGTCTGCTCTTTGATATTCCCGATGTTTTAAAATGAAATCACCTCACATTGCCACCTGGCTCCTTCTTTGGAGAAAACCAGACGGCCAGTGATTTCAAACACAGAGCAAGGTGCCCGCTCGAGGGCAGGCCCTTGGGGGTGCAGCTGAACCTCCCACAGAGGTGTGTGCCTATTCCTTGTGGTCTGGTTTCTGGGTTCCTGTGCAAAGTAGCAAGTCCTTTTCCTCAAAACTGGGGTGTTCTGCTCTCATTGTGCCCTCCTGTCACACTTTGAGAACTCTGAGATCCTTCATTTTGTTCACTCACAGGTAGTTGAACTAAAGTTTGGAGGAAAAGACATCCCTGTCACCAGTGCCAACCGGATTGCCTACATCCACCTTGTGGCCGACTACAGGCTGAACAAGCAGATCCGGCAGCACTGCCTGGCCTTCAGACAGGGCCTGGCCAACGTCGTCAACCTGGAGTGGCTCCGCATGTTCGATCAGCAAGAAATCCAGGTGCCCACCGCTGACCCTCGGGAGCAAGGGGAAGGCTTCCCTTAAAGCTGCCTCACATTTTATGGTTTGAACTTTTCCCACAGGTGTTAATTTCTGGTGCGCAAGTTCCCATAAGTCTAGAGGACCTGAAATCCTTCACCAACTACTCAGGTACGCTGTCGCCCTGAGCTCTTTCTCTGAGAACGTCACAGGCGCCTGTGCTTCCAGGGTACCTCTTGATTATAACTTTCTGCGTGGTGGTTTCCACGGTTCAGAAACCATAGCGTGCAATGAGGTGACCGCGGGGGCCTCTTCCTCTTCTTTGTTCCCTTCTGTCCCATTCCTCCTTCCCTCCTGCTAGCAGCAGCCACTAGTCATAGTGTCTCTATATGTTTTATATTATATGCAACTATGTCTTAATTCTTCTTTTCCTTGTTTTTACACACCGTTGTTTTGTCTCTGGACGGTATATCTTCTTAAGATCTACTTTCAGACATTTGATATTTCCAGTCTTACGCTTTAAAAAATAGTGCTGCTAGCCCTCCTCTCTCCCAAGGAAAAACAACAGTAAAATAAAAAGAAAAGCTGAACAATTAGACCCCATCAAAATTTTAACTTATTGGGACTAGCAGTTAGCATAGTGGCTATGTCGCTGAACTCCCATGTAGTCGACCTCGGTTCAAGTCCCAGACCCAGTGGCTTAAACTCACACCGGGTGCATGTGCGTACGTGCGTGCCCAAGATCCTGAGAGGAGAATGGAGGAGAAGGGATTGCAGTGTGGCCATCCCCCCTGGGGGGGGATTTCTCGCTTTCTATCTCTCTCTGTCTTTCTGGTGAGCATACGTGCCCTATAGCAAAGTCCTCTCAAAAAAAATTTTTTTAAATGTATTGATTGCATTAAACTTAGCTTTGTGCTTTTCAAGAAAATGAGAAAGCAAGCCACATAGATAGCAAAACATAGAAAACATATATCTGATAAAGAGTGTATATCCCGAATGCATTAAAAACTATCTAAATATAATAACGGGGGGGGGCAATTAAAAGTGAGCAAAATTCTTAAACAGTCCCTTCAGAAAAGAGAATCACTGGGTCAGGCGGTGGCACTGTCAGCCTGGCGCGTGCCTGTGATCCGGGCTGGCAGGCGCTGGGCATCCCAGAACTGGAGCCTTGTCGGGGCTGTTGTCTCTGTCTCTGCCTCATGGAAGAATAAAACATTAAAGTGGGAGAGCAGATGGTGGTGTGGTGGTGAAGGCAGCTGGAGCCCATGTGGGTAATGGTGCAGTTCTGGTCCTGAACCTGGTGGCTTGAAAAAGACACCAGGTGTGTGTGCCCACAATGCCAAGATGAGAATGGAGGAGAAGGGACTGCAGCACAGCTGTTCCCCTCGGGGTGATTCCTCACTCTTCCTCCCTCTCTCTGTCTCTCTACAGTGACACACGCTCTATCTCTGGGGGCAGTGGTGGGGGCACACTGCATCCCTTCTCCACGCTCCTCTTGGGATTTAGGTAGTTCTCTTCACACTGACCTACAAAGTCAGTCCAGTACTCATCAAAATCCCAGCAAGGCATTTTGTAGAAATCGACAGAATAATTTGAAAACTTACCTAAAAACATGAAGTCTCTAGAATAGCCACAACAGTTTTGTAGAATAAAGTCAAAGGCCTTACACTTTGATTTAAAACCTAAGTATGGGACCAGCAGATGGCGTAATGGTTACATCCCTAGACTTCCACATAGTCGACCACAGTTCGAGTCCTGGACTTGAAACTCATACTGGGCACACGTATGTGCACAAAATTCCTAGCGAAGGGAAGGGAATGTGGCGTGAGGGTGATTTCTCACTTTCTATCTCTCTGGCAAGCCCATGGACCCTATGGAGGTGAAAATAAAAACCTCTTTGAAAAACAATAATAATAATAATAATAATAATAATAATAATAATAATAATAATAATAATAATAATAATAATAATAATAATAATAATAATAATAATAATAATAAGAAAAACAATAATAATAATAATAATAATAATAATAATAATAATAATAATAAAACCTAAGTAATGTGATGGCAGTCAAGACAGTGTAATGTTGGTACAGGGGTCAGCATACTGACCAACAAAACATAATCGTGGGTTCAAAGCTTCATACTTAAGGTCAGCTGATTTACAAAAAGGGTCCCAAGATAAGTTCATGTTGCTGGACCCTTACTTCACACTATACCCAAAAATTAACTCAAAGTAGATCAGAGCCCTGTAGGTAAGAGCTAAAACTTCTAAAAGAACTTATCAGGAAAAATCTTAATGACTTCGGATTATCAAAGAGTTTTTAGATATGGTACCAAAAGCATAACCCAGAAAAAAGAAATTGATAAATTAAACAGCCTCAAAATGAAAAGCTTTTGTGCTTCAAAAAGTATTGAGAAAATGAAAGATGCCCAGCCCTCTAGCCCAGCAGTTAAGGGAGTCAGATCCCATCTGACCAACCACAATTCAAATCCCAGCTCCAAGACCAGCAGTTGGCATGATGGCTACGTCACTGGTCACTGGACTCCCATGTAGTCGACCGCAGTTCAAGTCCCTGACCTGGCAGCTTAACCTCAAGCCGGGTGCGTGTGTGTGTGTGCCCAAGATCCTGAGAGGGGAATGGAGGAGAAGGGATTGCGGTGTGGCCATCCCCCCTGGGGATTATTCTGTCTCTCTATCTCTCTCTTGTCTTTCTGGTGAGCGCATGCACTCTATAGCAAAAATCTCTCCAAAAAGAAAAGAAAAGAAAAGAACAAAGAACAAATCCATGTGTCCATGCCCAAAGTCCCTACAGAAAGGGGACATGGAGTATAAGGATTGTGGAGTAACTGCACCCCATTGGAGGATGCTTCCTCTCTCTGTTTCTCTGGCCAGTGTACATGGTCTCTGGCAATAAAAATAAATAAATGAAATTAGAAGACAAGCCACAAATAGGAAGAATGTATCTTCAGTTCATATACCTGATAGTGGACTGGTGTTAACAATCTATACAAAACTTTGTTCATGTTTTTTCTATAGGGAGGATGTATTCAGAGAGAGAGAGAGACCGAGACAGAAAAAGTGAGAAACCACTTTCCCCCTACTCTCAGGCCATGCCAGGATCCCTTCTCCTCCATTCTCCTTCCAGGACTCTGGGTATGCACACTCACACACCTGGCTTGTTTCTTAAGCAGCAGGATCTGCACCTTGAACTGCATGGGATCTAGGTGCCTTATCCTTTGTTACTTGCTATTCCTTTATAAATCTCTTATAGCTCAGTATTAAGGTAGTCCAGTTTAAAAGCATGAGCAATAAAAATTTAAAATGCATTTCACTTACAAAGATACATAAATGTCCAGTAAGCAAATGAGCACGTGATATGTTTAACTCATCATTAGGAAAGTACAGATTAAATCCAAGAAACCTGCTGCTGCACACCTGCTAGAGTGGCTGTGATCATCCACATCAGTACCCAGTGTGAGTGTCTGCAGAAATTGGGACTAGCAGTTAGCATAATGGCTATGTGGCTGGACTCCCACGTAGTCGACCATAGTTTGAGACCTGGACCCGGCGGCTTAAACTCTCACGCCAGGTGCATGTGCGTGCGTGCCCAAGATCCCAAGTGTCTGCAGAAATTGCAACCCATGGGCCAGCTGCGGTGTCCAGTGGTTAAGCTCTCTGCATGGAAAGCCAGATCCCACATGGCCAACCATGGTTCAAATCCTGGCCCTGGTGGCTTGAGAAACACACCTGGCACATGTGTATACATACCCAAAATCCTGATGAGCAGGAAAAATAAGAGAAAAAAGGATTCCAGCATGACTGCACCCATTGGTGGTTGCTTTTTCTTTCTGTCTTTCTTTTTTTTTCTTTCTTTCACACATGCTCTTAGGCAGTCAAAAACTTAGTAGTCACAGCCCCTCTTCATTGGTGGGGATGCAAAGTGGAGGCTCCTCTACAAACAGTTTGCAGCTATTTAAAAAGTTGAATGTAGAGCAGCTCAGCATTCGCAAAATAACGTAGCTGTACCCCTCATCTCACACCATATACAAAACCAGCTCAAGATGAGTCAACGATGCTATTAAGAAGTAAAATCATAGAACTCATAGGAGAAGGGGGGGGCGAGTCTTGATGACCTTGGGTCTGGCCGTGGATTCTTGGATATGACACCAAAAGCACAACCAACAAAAGAAAAACAGATTAATTAAACTTCAAACTTACAGACATTTGTGCACCAAAGAAAAGCACAGTCCATAGGGTGAAAAAGCAACCTACAGAATAGGAGAAATAGTTAAAATCACATATCTGATATGGGTACCCAGAATATATGAAAAACTCTTACAACTCGATTTTATTATTATTATTTTATTTATTTATTTATTTTTAAATAAAAACTTGATTCAGACATGAGGAAAGGGAAGCCAGAAGGTGGCATAGTGGTCGAGGCACTGGATTCTCACATGGCTGACCGTGGTTTGAGTCCCAGACCCAGTGGCTTGAAAACTAACAGCAGGTGCCTGAAGCATGAGTGTCCAAAGTCCCTAGAGGAGAATGGGGAATAAGGTGATTGTGGTGGAGCCATCCCACCTGGGAGTTGATACCTCACTTTCTCTCTCTCTGATGAGCACATATGCCCTATGGCATAAACCTAAAAAGAGGGAGAAAAAATGAAGAAAAGACTTCAATAGGAATTTCTCCAAAGAAGATGCACAGCCAGCTAGTGAGTATGAAAGCATGTTCAGCATCACTGATCGTTAGGGAGTGCAAGGAAGTCAAGACCACGGGGAGACGCCACTTGGGTCCATGAGCACACAGAGGGTGGCTCTGTTCGTGCGGAGTAGACAAACAGAAAATCAATACTGGGGAGGGTATGGAGAAGTGGGGCTCGTGTTAATTGCTGGTAAGAATGAGAAGTGGTACAGCCCCTGTCGAGAATAGTTTGGCGATTCCACAGAAAGCTGCCTAGGTATGTGCCCAAAGGAGTCGAGAGTAGATTCTCAGGGAAGTACCCGTGCACCCATGTTCCTAGCAGCGTTAGTCCCTGTAGCCAGAAAGGGGAAACGGCCCCGATGTCTGTTGGGTGGATAAACAAGAGGGGGTGTATATGAGGGTTCTTTCAAATAGTTTGTGAGAAAATGGAAGTAAGCTGGATTTATTTTGGTGGGAAAAGTTGAGATCCATGGATAGGTCTTTGTAATGCCCATGTTCTGTTGAGTTGTATGAAGACCTGTTGTACATACAGAGTGGAATGGTACTAAGTTTAAAAGGAAGGCTGTCCTGATACGTGTTCAAACACGGACAAACCTCAAAAACGTCATGTTAAGTGAAGCGAGCCAGACAGAAGACATCCTAGGTGATTCAGCATACGCGAGTTACTCAGAATAAGCAAATTTATCGATAGCAGAAGTAGATGAAAGGTCACTGGGAGCTGGAGAGAGGAGAAGTGGGGAGTCGCTGCTTAATGGTGACGGAATTTTTGTTGAGGTGATGAGAAAGTTTCCACTGGAAACAGATACCAGTGGTGTTTGCGTGTCAGTGTAATTAATTACTGCCTTGGATTATGCATTTAAAACCGTTGAGATGGCGGGTTGTGTTTATAAAGAATAAATAATACAGGAAGAGTCCTGCCCAGGCCGCTCTGCCCTATTGACTGGTGTTTGTGTGACACATCTCTGGAAAACCCACTTACGGAGCAGATCAGTGTTTACAGGATGGACATGGGTGTCCATGTTAGAGATGTTAGAGAAAATGGAAATGTTCTCAGACTGTCTTGATGGTTGCCAGAGTCTAAATTTGCTAGAACTCATTTTACCATATACATATATGTGTATTTATGTGTGTGTGTGTGTGTATGGTGTATGTGTGTTCCTTTCCTGCTGTAATTAATTTCCATTGCTCTGATTTTGAACTTTGTTCTTTTTTTTTTTGGAGAGGTTTTTCTATAGGGCATGTGTGCTCACCAGAGAGACAGAGAGACAGAAAGCGAGAAATCACCCCCCAGGGGGGATGGCCACGCCGCAATCCCTTCTCCTCCATTCTACTCTTGGGATCTTGGGCACGCACGCACACACGCCCGGCGACAGTTTAAGACACCAGGTCTGGGACGCACACCGCGGTTCACTACATGGGAGTCCAGCAACATAGCCATTAAGATAACTGCTGGTCCCTGAACTCTGTTCTTTATAAAAAGGTAAATAATACCCAAGATCAGGACCAGCTGGTGGTGTGGTGGTTAAAGTGCTGGATACTCCCACATGACCAACCATTGTTCAAGTCCTGGACGTGGTTTCTTTCTCACTTTTTCTCTCTCTTTCTTTGTGTGTATGTCTCTCTCTCTGGTCAAATTAAAATAAACAAGTAAATAAATAAAATTAAATAAATAATTAAATAATAATAATAATACCCAAGATCACATTGTCCCCACTGTCAAGTCATAGGTTAGTCAGAAATTGAATCAGTCTGACTCTTCATCTGCCAAGAAGCTGCCTTAGGCTGTTTGCATTGCTCTGTCTACACTGAGAGATCTATCTTAATGATCTCAGCTATTCCAGTAAATAGGTTTAAAATATTATCATACTCACTTTGGTGCCAATTATCGTACTTATGGTATTTTATTGGTGTTACTTGTGTAGCATATGAACAATGAGCGGACAGCATGTGCAATTATTTTAGTTTCAGGAAGCACTTACCTAGATTAAGAGCTGTAAGTAGCACATTTTACATTTTAGAATAGCTGTCTAATCACGTGTTGCTTATTGGCCACGATTGTACCTGATTATCAGAAGGAGGGGATCAGATGAACTTTGACCAGGCCAGCAAGTGGTTAAGGCATTGGAGTCCCATATGGCTGACCATGGTTCAAGTCCTGGACCTGGTGACTTGCTCTCTCAGTTTCTCTTTCTCTCCCTCTGTCTCGCTCTGGTGAGCTCATGTGCCCTATAGCAAATTAAAAAATAATGATGGGCCCAGCAGACGGTGTAATGGTTACATTGCTGGACTCTCACGTAGTCAGCTGCTGTTCTAGTCTCAGATCCAGAGGCTTAACACTCAACGCCAGGCGTGCCCCCCAAGATGGCGAGAAGAGAGTGGAAAGGAAGAGGGGAGAGGGCGCCCCCCACCCCTGCTGTATCTCTCTATGCCCGGCTCCTCTGATAACCACAGGGTGCTCCCTGTCCCGGCCGTTGTCTGCTCCAACCACTGGGCTCTCTCTCCTAGCACTTTGCCCATCACCCAAGAGCGGAGGGGAGTTGGCTCTTAGGACTGCCTTCAGCCGGGACCTCTGTTGTCCTGGGCACACCCAGTGAAGTGTGCGAACCACTCTTTCACGATTGTTGCTCTAGTGCTTCTGGGAGAAATCCCACTACTTGTGAGAATCCCACTGTTTTATTTTTAATAAATGTTCCTTTTGTCATAGGGGGCTATTCTGCTGACCATCCTGTCATTAAACTCTTCTGGAGAGTTGTAGAAGGTTTCACTGATGAAGAGAAGCGCAAATTGCTCAAGTTTGTAACAAGCTGCTCCCGACCCCCTCTCTTGGGGTTTAAGGTACACAACTTTTACGCCATTTGCACTAAAAGCCCAATCATGAGTAAGAACGGCAGTGGGGTTCCAAGAAGGAGGCTTTGTTGTGGACGGTGTTCATGGTATCGGCCACCTTCCCTGTCCCCGCGGGTCCACTGTGGCTCAGCTTTTCCCGTAATGTGCTGGCCGTCATCTGCTCACCAAGACGGGGCCGTTCTGTGCTGTGCTTGCTCTGGGCTGTCCCTTGCCGCACCTGTCTGTCTGGTAGCTGTGTGTCGTGGTCACGGTCCTCTGTGAACTCCTGTGCTCCTGTGCAACTGCAGGGCCCACTGGGCCGAGGCGGGCCAGCCTGAGTGTGCTGCTGCAGGGTCCAGAGCAGGCTGCCCCGCCCTGGCTCTTCCAGGGTACCTCCTGGGCTTGCTCCCCAGCTCCTGAAAACCAGGGTGCAGCTGTGTAATGTCAGCAGTTACAATTGCTTGGGGACATTTAATAATGTTTCCTGTACTCATTGTAAATGAAGAGTGGAGGAATGACGTGGTAGTTGAGGCTCTGGACTCCCACATGGCCGACCATGGTTCAGGTCCTGGATATGGCCGTTTGCTTTCCACTTTCTCAGTCTCTCTTTTTGTGTCTCTCTCCAGTCAAATTAAAAAATAGTAAGTAAAACTTAAGAAGAAGAATGGATCAGTGTTAGTATTTGAAAGTGCACACACGCTGTGCATATTGTGTCGATGGATACCAAGTTTGGTAAGCGTTGTGTGCTGCTAGTGCTTTTGAAATCTATAGGGGAGGCGTTCCCTTCTATCTAACCTTGGGTCAGAAAGTTTTATCAAGTATTTTATATTTCTGAGTGAGCTTGCACTTGCCAGAGAGACAGAAATACAGAAAGCAAGAGATCACCCCCCGGACGGATGGCCATGCCACAATCCCTTCTCCTCCATTCTCCTTTCGGGATCTTGGGTACGCATGCACAAACACCCTATGTGAGTTTAAACCACTGGGTCCAGGACTTGAACTGTGGTCGACTATATGGGAGTCCAGTGACATAGCCATTATGCCAACTGCTGGTCCCCCAGTGAAGTTATTCTTTTAATGAACTTTTTATTTTGAAATTATTTTAAGCACATAGAAAAATTACAAGAATTGGACAGAGATCTTTGTTTTGTTTTGTTTTTGATTTTGCTATGGGGCCCATACACTCACCAAAGAGAGATAAAGAAAAAGGGAAAATAGGGGCCAGCAGGTGGTGTCATGGCTGTCACTGGACTCCTATGTAGTCGACCGTTGTTCGAGTCCTGGAGCCGTGGCTTAAACTCATGCCAGGCACGAGTGGAGGAGAAGGGATTGTGGTGTGACCACCCCTCTGGGGAGTGATTTCTTGCTTTCCATCTGTCTCACGAGCACACGCACCTATAGCAAAAATCTCCAGAAAAAAGGGAGGAGAAGGGAAGTGGCCAGCAGGTGGCATAGTGGTTAAGGAACTGGATTCTCATGTGGCTAGCTGTGGTTCGAGTCCTGGAACTGGCAGGTTGCTTCCTCCCTAGCCCTTTCTTTCTCCACCTGTCTCCCATCAACTTAGAAATAACGAGGGCCAGCAGATGGTGTGCCGGTTAAGGTGTCGGTCTCCCATGTCGTTGACCGCAGTTCAGGTCCCACACTTGGTGCCTCGAAACTCATGCTGGGCACGTTTGCGTGCGTTCCCAAAAATCTCAGGAGGAGATTGGAAGATAAGGGGTTTGCGGCCTGACCATCCCCTCTGGGGGTTGGGGGGGTGATTTATCACTTTCTGCCTCTTTTGTCTCTCCATCAAACACATGTGCCCTGTAGCAAAAAAAAAAAAAAAACTCAAAAATAAGTAAATAATAAATAAAATAATAATTCTTCAAAAATAAACACATAAGAGAAAATGAGAAAGCACCCTGAGAGTTTTTTGGGCTCACAATCACACATACCCAGCGTGTGTTTCAAGCCACTGGGTTTGAGAAGTCGGCCATGTGGGGTCAGACTTCTTACCTACTATGCCACTGGGCTGACCTGGGCAGAAAACTTTTTAAAGTTTGTTTATTTCCTCCATGAGAGAGAGTGGGGCTCCCCAGACAGGGTCTCTGCACTGCCCCCCACCCCAGCTCCGCAGCCTGGACTACATGCTCACGTGCACCGTGAGTACACAGGGAAGGCCCAGGCACCCTCCAGGGACTCCCTCCCACGCGGGTGCAGATACATCACCGTCTGGCCCCAAGAACGCAGAACCCCCTAACCTACACTGACCAGTTGATGTGCTGCGATGTCTTCCCTCCACCTACTTCTTTTCTGAATCTGTTGAGAGCGTGCGGCAGCTCCGTGTCTTCTTACTCCCTGATGTTTCAGCACCTCGTTCTGGTGACAGGGACGTCCTCTTTAGTAACCGCAGGTAACTGCCAAGAACGGGCTCCCCAGCCTGTGTTCCCTGCCCTCTGGGTGTGCTGGAGCCGTGTCTTTGCCCCATGTGGTCCCGTGAAGGGTCTGCTCCCTGTCTGGAGTCTGGCCTGGCCCACGCCACATCAGGGGTGGTGCTCCGTCCTCGCCATCCGTAGCTGCCACACGCAGTGGGCTCAGACAGCCCCCCCGGTGGTCACGTACCCTGACATTGATCCCAGTGAGGAGTGTGCACAGGCCCTGCTGGAATCACGCCTGTCTCTCGCTCGTGGATAAATGAATAAACTTTAAAAGAAAAGAAAACCTCAGGGCCCGCAGGTGGCAGCGGATTTGGCAGAAGAGCAGGGTTCACAATGGCCAGAAACTGGGACCAGTGCAGGGTCTGCCCAGCAACAGTGTCGGGCCGGGTGTCGGGGATTTCGAGGGGCGAGTGCTGGGAGGGCTGTGGCTGTGTGCACTTGGCGGTCAAGTGCCGTGTGACAGAGGCAGGACCCCGGACCGTGTGTTACACCTCCGGGTCTGCGGCAGGCTGGCTGCAGGGGCACAGGCGGCCGGGCCTCACTGCACAGCGCCAGAGCCACATGGGAGGTCCAGGCTGTGTTCTGAGTGACCAGAACCAGGGCACCCAGGCTCCTGTCTAGCCAGGAGATGGGAAGTGAAGGTGAGTTCTTGGCGTGACAGACCCTGTCAAGGAACCCGGTGTCGAGGGCACTCTTCTCTCTGTCTTAAGAAATCCTTTTTTTTTTTTAAACCGAAGAGTGCTCGTAATCACGAGAGAAAGAGGAGCAGAGAGGGGGAGGGGGGAGCACCGCCAGGGTCACGCCCAGCCCTTTTCCCGCCTTTCTCCGTCAGCGCTGGGCTTGGCACGTGTGCCTGGCGTGTGTGCCTGGCGTGTGTGCCTGGCGTTACCTTCCAGGTGTCCAGCCGTTTAACCGCTCGGCTATGGGACTGGCCCAGCTCACCTTTCCTCCTTGGAGGCTCATTATGGAGACAGTAGACGGGTGGCTGCCCGGGCTGGAGGTAGACGTGACACGTGCCGAGGACCTGGGGAGTGGAGACCGTGCACCTGCTGTAGAGCCACGAGAGCTCGTGGATCACCCTTACGTGGAAAGCCTTGCAGTACACCAGCACCACCTCGGTTAACATTGCCCTCTCTGTTGTTCTTTTCAGTTTGCACGAGGGCACATATGCTTACCACAGGGAGACGGGAGAGAAAGAAAGCGCCTTGTGGGGTGTAGCTGCGCTGCATCCCTTCTCCGTCCCTCTGTCCTGTTGGGATTTGAGGCACGTGTACATATGTCCTCAGCCTAGTTTTCACACCACAACGCCTGGGATTTGAACCACAGCAGTTGTCTGTGTGGGGACTGGTTCCTGAATCCAGGAGGCCGTAGGGCTGATCCTCAATTAAGTTATTTTTTAGAAACTGGGGGGCCAGCCTCATGGTCTAGTGGTTAACAGAGCTAGATCCCACATGGCTGATGGCCATTTGAATCCTGGGCTGGACCCTGCAGCTTAAAAATCTCGCCAGGTGCATGTGTGTGCGTGCCCAGAATCCTGAGAGGAAAACGGAGAAGGGATTGCGGCATGGCGTCCCCTCTTGGGGTGATTTCTCACTTTCCCTCTCTGTCCCTCTCCGGCAAGCTCACACCCTCTACAGCAAAAACCTAAAGGGAAAAAAGTTTTTTAAAAAAAGAAAATGTTTGTCAATTAAAAACAACAAGATGGGCCAGACCCTCCGTCGCCCACACAGTTAGAGCCCAGACCCAGCGGAGTCGACCGTTGTTCGAGTCCTGGAGCCGTGGCTTAAACTCATGCCAGGCACGAGTGGAGGAGAAGGGATTGTGGTGTGACCACCCCTCTGGGGAGTGATTTCTTGCTTTCCATCTGTCTCACGAGCAATTAAAAACAACAAGATGGGCCAGACCCTCCGTCGCCCACACAGTTAGAGCCCAGACCCAGCGGCTTGATAAACCCGGTGTGCCCCAGACCCCAAAGGTGGAGGGGGGATGGAAGAGAAGGGACTGCGCCGTGGACATTCTCCACGTTCTTCTTCCTTTCTCTCTGCCAAGTTCATTTGCCCTCTGGCCAAAAGGGGAAAAAAATCCAAACCTGGAGGTAAAAAATTGAGCATTTGGTTTTAGTAAAAAACGTCTAGAAGACTTGCTTTTAACTGGGCCTCCTGTGGGCGATAGGGGCAGAAGAGTGCCCCTGGTCTCACAGTGGTGAACCCTCCCACGGACCCGTCTCAGGGCCTCTGGTGCCCGCATGGGCCCAGCATACTCCGCGCCCGCTGGGCGTCTGAAGCACCATCACCATGTGGCGCCCAGCACCTCGGGGCACTAACTCTGCCCTGCCGTGGCGGCTGGGCAGATCCAGATTTCCTGCAGCCCTGGCTAACTGATGCTAGTGATCTCGGCAGCAGTAAAAATGAGGAGTCTTGGGGACAGCAGGTGATGTGGTTAAGGTGCTGGACACTCCCATGTGGCTGACCACAGTTTGAGTCCTGGACCTGGCGGCTTTTATTCCTCACTTTCTCTCTCTCTGCCTCTTTCTTGTCCAATTAAAATAAATAAATGAATAACTAAAATTAAATAATAAAAAAGTAGGAGTCTTTCTGAAAGGAGCAGGTTCTAGACACGCTGACAGCCAACATAGAGCCTCTGAGGGACAGTATTGATTGGGGTAGGAGCCTCTGCCCCGGGTGCCTCGGCCAGGCTCATGGGTGGGCACCTCCGCTACCTGCGTGTCACAGGGCTGGAGAGGTGAAGGACACCTGTTAGCTTTTAAATTCCACCGTGAAGTGCTAGCGAGAGCTCCGGGTCTCCATGCAGCTGTGATGAGTTACCGCACTGTGGGAGTGCTTGTGGGGCCCAGAGACTTCCTGTCCCCTCAGTGCCCTAACGTAGCTGTACGTGGGAGCTCAGGGTTTTCCATGTCAGATGCTTTGTCGCACGTTAGACATGGAACTGGGGGTGTCACCTCACCGTCGGGCTTCCCAGGTGCTCTGCGTACCCGCCAAGAAAGGCCTGCAGCCGGCCGGGCTACTCGCGAAGGACAGTGGCTGCCAACGCTCACTAACACCTGGGGGTTCGCGGGTGCCTGGGAAGACTGGAAACCTACACCTGTAGGAGGTGTTTAAGTTACCCTCCGGCCACATACTGAGTCCATGATTTTCCTCTTTCTGAATTAATGCAAATTCCCGTTTTCCTGTATTTAATTATGCAGAAAATGGTGCCCTTGACTCAGAATTCAAGGAAGAACTTTTTCTTTTTATTATTTTTTTTTATTTTTAAGACCAAGCAGGAAATTCAGTTAGCTCTATGAGAGAAACATGTAGTGGTGGTGTCCCACTGTGGGCGTCGCCGGGACTCCGGCTCAGCCTGGCCGCTGCCAGCACTCCCCAGCCTGCCTTTGGGTCGCCTTTCGTGCTCCACGTGGCTGTAGCTCACCGCGGCCTGGCTAGATGAGTGGCCCTGGGCGCTCACGGATGCCAAAGTAGATGACAGAGGTTCCGCCGCTTCTCCTCTGACTCCTGTCCTCAGAATGTGAGCCCCCATGGCAGCTTGTAAATGAGAGGAGAGGCGCGCTCTGGCCCTCTGGCCCGACCTGCTGGGGCTGGGCCTTCACCTGCCCCGCCGTGGTGCAGAGGACGCCAGAGGCTGAGGAGCAGCAGCGAGCAGCGCCTACGACTGAGTGGCTCCCGGGCTGTGCCGTGCCCAGCGCGCCTTGTGGAGCGGGCAGCCCCGCAGGTGCCAGCCTGCTGTGCGCTGGCTCAGGCTGTCCGAGGTGCCCTCCGCCTGGGGACATGGCTGCAGGCTTGCTCTCTCCCATCATGGTGTGAGGAAGTGACTGCTGCTTAACTGTGCGGGTTAGGGTTTTTTCTTGTCACGAGTTTAGGCTTTCATTACAGAAATTTGGGATTCGTAGGTAAGTATAAGAAAGAAAAAAATGACTCCCTCTCTCATTCCTGCCATTACTGTGTTACTTTTCCCCCTGTTATAAGTGTGTGTCTGTCTGCATATAAAGGTGAGCCTCAGTGTAGGTACATGTTATTCTCTAGTATAATTTTAGCCATGTCATGTTCAGTTTTATAGATCACTACCTGTATTAAACTGACATCTGGATCATTTTTCCTAATGTTAAATATTCTTTGAAGTATTTTTGGAGGGACCAGCAGATGGCATAATGGCTACAATATAGGGATTGC